AATGTGTGCAAACAGTTGGTGCACTATCTTGTGATAGACTTCCGGAGCACTACAAATACCAAAAGGTAGTCTCAAGAACTTGTACCTTCCGTATGGCGTGATAAACGTACAAAGTTTGGAGCTTTCGTCATCTAGTTGGATCTGCCAAAAACCACTAGATGCATCTAACTTGCTGAAGTATTTGGCTCCTGCAAAATGTGCAGTTATTTCAGCTCTTGATGGCAATTGATAGTGTTCTCTTTTGATTGCTCGGTTCAGGTCTCTTGGATCTAGACAGACCCTGAGCTGACCGTTCTTTTTCATCACCACCACGAGAGAAGAAACCCAATCAGTTGGCTCATCAACTCGTGTGATTACGTCCATTCGTTCCATCTTATCTAACTCGTCTTTGAGTTTATCTTGAAGTGGAAATGGAACTTTGCGACATGCATGCTGAACAGGATGTGCGTCCTCTCTCAATGTGATGTGGTGTTTACCAGGAAGACAACCTAGACCTACAAACACATCTTGATAGTCTTGAACTACACTTTTACCCGTTCCGTGTTCAGTTTGTTTCTCAACATGATACACCCGTTTCACCAGATACAAGTCTTCACTCGTCCGTAATCCTAACAAAGGCTGACGATTTCCAGGAATGACTAGACACGGCACATTGCGTTTGATCCCTTTGTACTCAACTTGTACACAACAACGACCTTTGACCGGAATATCTGTCTCATAATAACCTGTCAACAACACTTTGGCTTTTTGTAGCTTTGGTTTTGGTTTCAATTTGTGAAATACTGTCTCAGGAAGAAGATTCGCCTGAGCACCAGTATCAACTTTGAAGTCAACCGGCTGGTTATTGACTAGTAGATTAACTGTCCATTCATCCTTGGATTCTTTTGATTCAACAGAGCAAATCATGAAACCCTCTGAATCTACCTCCAAGTGCTGCAGTTCATTGACCTTGGCTACTGGGGTTTTACAACATTTAGCAAAATGATTCTGCTTACCGCACTTCTTGCATGTTTGACCTTGTGCGGGACATTTGTCTTTGCTATGTCGGTTTCCGCACCTGCTACATGCATCACTTTTAGTACGACCTTGAGGTTCTGACCGTTTTGACTTTGAACCAGGAAATTTCTTCTTAGTCTTGCTGAAAGAATCTACCGGAATTGAGGCGTTTTCCCCTGCGGAACTCAACGCTTGTGCCTGCGTTCGAGTTTGTTCAGCCGCACGACATACTTGCAACGTTTTTAACCAATGTAAGATCATCTTGCCTCAACAAACGTTCTCTTAGACCATCGTCTAAAATACCACAGATAATTCTGTCCTGGATAAGACTCTCTTTCAACATGGAAAACTCACATGACTGAGCACGACTCCGCAATTCTGTTGCGTACTGATCAACACTCTCATGCACTAACTGAGATCTTGTGAAAAATCTATGTCTCTCATACGTTAGATTACGTTTCGGCATGCAATATTCCTCATATTTGTTCAATATTTTCTCAAGCTTCATGCTCTCACCCTCAGCAAATACAAACGTATTATACAATTCCAAGGCAGCATCGCCAATCACGTGTAGAAGCATTGATGTTTGTAACTTTTCATCTTTTTCAGACATTCCTGAGGCAACATTGTATAGAGTGAATTTCTGTTTAAATCTTCTCCAGTTCTCGGACATATTTCCCTTTAAGTCGAGTGGAGGAGGTTGACTGAGATTTGCCATTTTGTTTATTTTTTGTTTCTTAGCCTAGTGTAGTCACTCACATGAACAGCATAACAATTAGCTTTTTCTTTTTGTATCTTTGCAACAATTACTTTAAGCTCAACTATTAACTTTCACTGAGTTATTCTGTATGTTCATGTCCCATATATGTCACGCTTACTGCCCGTTATACTGGAACTGGCCCGGCACAGCTAGAACTATGCACTCCAATCCATACAACGACAGCGCTAACTATTATGGACATAACTACATTCACTGGACATACACTTAGACTCTAAGCCCTCTAGCTCTCATCATCTCTCACATCACAAAGAAGTGGATTGAACTGGCCTGATTTCAATGATTCCTCCATATATTTATACTGTAGGCTGGGTCGCTCAGCACAAACACTGGCTGCTAAGTTCTGACACCATATTATGTTCTTATAAAAGACCAGTTGGAGAGCTTTGATTGAACTAATAAGTTGTATAGCTTTATTGAGTCTCTATGTCAGTCAGACATCTTTGTAGGCATCTCTTCTACAAGTACTCATTGTTTCATAACATGACCTGGCATGAGTCATGGGTTGCAGGTCATTCTATATTTAGTTATACATGCTAGTCTGTATTTGCAGACTCTGTTAAACTACATGTAGCTATCACTACAGCCGTGACATTGGCTTGTCTCCAATCTTCAGGAACATCTCCGGTGTCAAGTGACTGCTGGAATATTACTTGCAACACTAGCGCTAAGATTGCAGAATGGTCTTTTAGGATTTTTGTTGGCACTTGGTCTGGTCCAACGGCTTTCCTAGGGTTGAGTGAGACAAGCAACTTTTCCACTCCAGCTACAGTAATTGAGATGTTAGGCATTACTGGAAAAGGACTTGGGCCTTTAGATGGCATGGACTCTGTGTCCTCTTCAGTGAAGACGGAGCGATATTGACGGGATAAGGCTTCTGCTTTCTCTTTAGCTGAGGTGACGACTTGGTTCTCAGAGACTAAGGATGCGATTCCCATGTTGTCTCTCTTCAAGGACTTAACATACTTCCACAGTTTCTTTGAACCGGCTTCCTTATCTTCAAACATACCATTGATGTAGTTGGTGTGGGATTCGTCAATCATCTTCTTGATGACAGATTGATAAGCAGTGTACTTCTCCCAATTCTTCTGTGTCTTATACTTCTTATAAGTATTGTATCTTCGCTTCCTTCGTTTCATTAGTCGCTTGATCTGTGGGGTCATCCAGGGTAAGTCGCAACCACCTTTCAGCCGCTTTGAAGGCACATTCTTGTCCATTATGGTCTTAATTTACAAGTAAACAACTTTGTTTCCTCGTCAATGAAAATGGCGCCCATATCTGCGCATGTGCACTCTTGTAACCATAAAAGGGTGTATAAGTCGGAAGTAATTCAGCTCCTGATCTCTCAGCTCGTACACTCACCGACTCGGTCACCGACTCGGTTTGAAAACAATAATCAAATCTAGATCTAGATCTACTATATAAAAAAGTCTGGTGTACGATACTAGAAATGGCGCTAGTGTAGCGAGGTATCCAAAATATAGCCTACTAAAACAGACCCCAAATTTCAGACCCCAAATTTTGTGGTCATCATTACCCTAACCCTAACCCTACCCTAACCCTAACCCTAGAACCCTAACCCTAACCCTAACCCTAACCCTAACCCTAACCCTAACCCTAGAGATAATGATAAACACGAAATTTGGGGTCTAAAATTTGAGGTCTGTTTTAGTAGGCTATATTTTGGATACCTTGCTACACTAGCGCCCTGGAGGCGACCTAGTACGTGTGCGTGACTGCGAGAGACAAAAACAAACACCAACAAAATATAAGAACCCCCCGCCGGCCCGCGAATTTTTTTTCCGTACTCGAGAGGGCAAATACCCCATGTGCGCATGCGCGTGGACTTGTGATTTCTCTGCTACTTCCCATACGAAATGTACATGGATCGCATGTACTGTGCACGATTCGCGTTCTACGAGTAAACGATGGCATAGTAGTCTTCAAACACAGACTCTGATTTGCCAGTTTGACAAAACAATTACGCATATATCGTGCGTAGCAATAGTACTAGTATTCAAGTCTGAGTAGTTGTATGATTCAGACATTTTAGTGCTTACAGAAATGCATCCCAAATTGAATAGCATGGTATAGTAGTCTGCAAGCACAGACGCTAATCGGACAGTTTGACAACATAGTGTCTTGAGTAGTGCTTTATATTCAAATATGTGTAGTTTTATGATTCAGACCCTACTGGTGCGTGTATCGGAAAGGCATCTCAACTTGCAGAGTGGCATAGTAGTCTGCAAGCACAGACGCTAATCTGACAGTTTGACAAAATAGTGTTATTCAAGTCTGAGTAGTTTTATGATTCAGACCCTACTGGTGCGTGAGAGAGAGAGAGAGAAAGAGAGAGAGATATGAGAGAGAGAGAGAGAGAGAGAGAGAAAGAGTGTGAGAGAGCAGTGGCACAATACATAGGCCTACCATGGGGTCTGGAATCATTAAACTACACAAACTTGCATAAAATCACTACTCATCAATACACAATATATTATTATGTCCTTGCAGACTACTATACTACACTCTACACATTGAGATGCATTTCTAACGCACGCACCAGTAGGGTCTGAATCATACATCTACGCAGACTTGAATAAAGTACTTCTCAGCACACTACTAGTATGTTGTCAAACTGTCAGATTAGCGTCTGTGCTTGCAGACTACTATACCATTCTATACAAGTTGGCGACTTGAATAAAGTACTTCTCAGCACACTACTAGTATGTTGTCAAACTGTCAGATTAGCGTCTGTGCTTGCAGACTACTATACCATTCTATACAAGTTGCAATGTATTTCCATATGCACTACTGGGTCTGAATCATACAACTACACAGACTTGAATAAGCACATCGCGACACATACGCATATTGATTTGTCAAACTGGCAAATCAGAGTCTGTGTTTGAAGACTACTATGCCATCGTTTACTCGTAGAACGCGAATCGTGCACAGTACATGCGAATACATGTACATTTCGTATGGGAAGTAGCAGAGAAATCATAAGTCCACGCGCATGCGCACATGGGATTTTTGCTCTCTCGAGTACGGAAAAAAAATTCGCCGCCGGCCCCCCCCCCCCCAAAAAAAAAATAGCTCGACTATTAAATGTCTAACATAAAATACATGGATGGGACTGGGTACAAAATTAAAAAATTATCCGAGTTGAGCCCTACGTGTTATCCCCTATTTACTAACAACATGATGTTCATAATCTGATACTCACACTTTTACTTTCGTCCTCGTCAATTCCAGCCATGATGCCAAGATATAACTTCTAAACAGGGTACGAATTGGGACGCTTTTAAAGACTGAAATAGGCCGGAAAGTTGCGTAATCTGACTACATAGAGTGTCGTAAAGCAAACAAATTGAAAAACAATTTTTACATAATCTATACCACTTTGTCGATATCACCAGCAGCTGTCGCGCATGCGCAATGAGAAGGTTCAGCAGTTCTGGGGCTCGTTCCTAGAAACCAACGACAAGACAGTCATAGCTTTATCCGCCAACTACGGAGATGTCTGTGATCTTCCCAGGGCATGTGAGTTAAAAGTCTCACCTCCCTGATCTTCCTAAACCGTTTCACGAAGAGCTTACTAGCTAGTATCTCGTGAGATCGATATTATCGGCGAGAAGAGGAGCCGAGAATTAGCCTTAGTCGCAATACCACCAGATTATTACAAAATTAATATTAGGGAAAATGCAATTATTTAAATGAATTAGTAATAAAAAAGATTAAAAATGATACCAAGAAATAAGAGATCCAATATACTTCCAAATTTGTGTAGATTAAACAATTGAAGTACTTGTAAAATATAATTGTGAGTTTTTCATTACATGACCAGTGAATCAGTTTTGTTGTTGAGATGGGCACCCCCCGAATATTTTCATTTGATAGTTTATAAAAATACACCCTTATATTATTCTTTGAAAAAATGCGATGTAATGAAATTTGTGTTCAATGTTTTTGGCGTCAGTACAATATAAAAATTACAAAACTTCAATATTTCAAACGTTAAAACATATGTTTAAACCATTCACTTTGCATAATTGAAAATAAAATTCATCTCAAAATTAATATGGGTCTGAAACTAAAGAATACACTTCAAACTATGGCTTGCCTGCCGTGGCAAAATGCATATCCCTTCGATGAGTTTACAATGTGGAAATAAAGGCGTATAATCAGTTTATTTAAGTGGGAAAATCCTTAAATACAAACATGGCATATTTTCATGAGATTATCAAATACAAAAACGATAATTCACTGGTTAAGTGAATGTGTAGAAAATCATAGTTGGAGGATTTATTGTCCTTTTTTGCCAGCCATAGTCTACCCAAAAAATGACATGTGATGGCGCTGCCCATCGACTAAATAGTTATGACAGAGATACGACGGTGTCAGAGGTGTCATAACTCCTTAGTCAGGATGTTGTTGATCTAGGCAAAGAGGGCTTGGTGAAACACGTAGCGGACAAGTTGTTCACTAACGCTGATTTAGTCAAGAAGTTAGACTTATGACGGTTTGTAGGAACGGGCCCCAGATAGCAGAAGTGATTTTTTTTTTACACTCGGGCAATATGTAACATCAGCCCCTGGAAAGATTGTTTCAGCACACACACGCACTTAGGAGGAACATGAATGTATTGCTCATAACAGTGATTTGTTTTAATTCTGCCGATTGTGATAGGTTGAGATCATTTCACCCTGCCCCCATTTCCTTATTTCTATAGCCCGAACTGACGCCCCCGACTCTTTCAATCAGCGGTGTTCCCCAATTGGGGGGGGGGGGGGGAGCGGGAGGCCAGGGGAACACTGTGCCCCACTTTTTTAAGTGCCCCAAGTGCCCCTTTCACTCTAGATACGTGGCCATTTTCCTTTGTATGAAGTACCCCTTCCCCTTCTAAAAAAGAGTTGCCCATTTCAGCTCTAATAATTAAGTGCCCCCTTTCGATAAATGCCCCTATTAAAATCTGATAGTTGCCCATTTTCCTTTATAATAAATTGCCAATTTTCTATTCTCAAAAGTTCCTTTTTTTCATCGCTGATGAATGCCCCTATTCACCTCTGATAATTGCCCTTTTTACTTTGGCCTTTTTAAAAATACTTTTCTTTGCTGATAAGTGACGTTTTCCATTCTGATAAGTGCCCCCTTTCATTTCCCCATAACATGTTTCCCTTATTCAAAGGGACTTATAGCAATTTTTAATTTTTTTCCCCAAATTATGTATCTTATTAAAGGCCCATTCAGTCTTTCATGATGAGTTGTGCTAATCAATATTCAGACCATCACACCCAACTGCAAAGTATTACACTTGGACCTTGTAAAGAGAAAAACAAATAATGAAATCATCCCTGATAATTTAATCACACTGTAGAAGCAGGCGCGAAAGCAGGGGGTGGGGGGGGGGTAACCCCCCCCCCCCTTCAGTTTTTTCTATGTGTATGTATTTTGAGAACCCCCCCCCCCCCCCTATGAGTTTTTTTTTGTTTTTTGTTTTTTGTTTTTTTTAAATCCTAATGGACGACCTAAAAAAAGATGACCCTACCACCCCCCCCCCCAACGAAACGGAATGTCGATCGGTCAATTTTTCAAATTTCGGGACCAAAACAAAAATATATATATCCTCTTACCTACCCCCCCCCCCCCCACTCCCGCTTATTCAGCGGCTGGCTGAGTCGTTGCGAATTTTTTGGCCCGATTTCAAATGTTAAACCCCCCCCCCCTTGAAAAAATCCTGCGTACGCCACTGTGTAGGAGTATATACTAATATATACAAACATCGTATTGGGTTTCCCTTTGTAGATGCCCCTCCCCCCCCCCCAGAAAATACAATTGTTGTTAATGATTATTCCCCCACTTTGAAAGACGCTCCACCGCCCCTTCTTAATTTATATATATCCATATTCTGTGTGTCCGGAGAATTGTTTTAAAACAGTAATTTATAGAAAATATCATGCAATATTTCTCCAATCTTTCAAGAGTTTTGTTAGACATGTTAGACACATTTTTATAATGATGGTTAGTGCTATTTGGTGCATTCTTCTCACACAATATTATTCAAAGGCAAAGGAGAGAATTCAGTCTTTTTAAGCGTCAGGACACACAACTCCCATTTATAGATGTATAGATTGGTTCACAACGCTACATAAAATACACAGAATGTATGGTTTGAATTTGACTAGCGCATTCGATTTATTCTCATCGTGGTTTTACAAGGTTATATAATAGAGGCCTACACATAGGCCTATATGGTTACACGATTGGATTAAATGAGCACCAGGATTAATACTAACTTGAATCCTATGGATTACGTAGGCTAGTAATAAGAAAACCCCACGCTCAACATTGGACAATTATACGTTTACAAATCAATACATGAAGGCTATCATTAAAATAAAATAAATAATGATTATTCAGCGTTTGACTTTTTATCATGCAAATTGTTGGAAGTCATTAATTTTGCTAGAAAAGTAGTATTTAGTGGAAAAGCAACTCCACTCCCAGCATACCCGTAACCCGTTATCATCATGAAGGGGGTGTAGGCCTATACTGAACGAGACACAAAAAGGCACTATACCATTTCATCTCGACCATGATCTCGACACTCATCTCTCTCTTCTTGTTTGTCCACTGTCTCTCTTTATTTCTAAATACTCTCTCTTTCTCACACTGCCTCTCTTTATGCCTGAGACTGTTGCTTTTCCAATTATATTCTCAAAAATATCTTGATTGCACCAGATCTCCATGTTTTCAGATTGTGAGAAATGATTATGTCTCACGTATTGATTCTGAACAGCCATTGGTAATTTTTTCTATTGAATAGGAACTAAATATTAGTTTTTACTTTCAAGCAACGAAAATGTAGCATACTACGCTGATAATTCGTGGGGAAGTCAATAGAAAGCAGCTTATATCCAAAATTCGTAAATCCACTCCTTTGTTGCAGTTGTAGGCGTACGGCGAGGGCGCGGGCTGGGGGCTCTCCCAAAATGATTACAGATCCAATTTTCGAGCAACCACCACCTCGTATACGGGTACGTAGCAAGGTGGCCGAATACAGTATACTTTAATATCTAAGCTAGTGAAGTTTGATAACATTTTGAAAGAAATCAAATTGTCCAGTTTTGTTGCTCGCTGCGCTCGCTCTCGACTTCTAAAACAGGATGATTCTCATTTTCCTCATTTTCGGGCAGCGTGTTACGGACCACTTTGAATAATTTGTTATGACTTTTTTGCTCATCGCTTGCTTCACTCACTTGTATATAGCTATGTTGGGTGGGGAGGGGGGGGGGGCAATGTCATTATTTGCCCGAAATACGCCACTGTTTACAGGAGTTTCACAGGAGTCTGTGTTTTCTGTCTTTTTAGCAACTTGTATCATATCCGATGCAAGAAACAACTGTATCTTTTCAATTGTTAATATTATACCAATATTGCCATATTACTATTAGTATTATATAATATTCTCCAATCCCTTTCCGTGCTGCTCCTCGGCTTAGTCATTATTTTCGTTCCTCACCCTAGTCACGTATATTGCCAACCAAATTACCCCTTTTTCGGCATTTTCTACGTATATCATAAAATAAACAATTTCCTATTATTCTGGAGTCATGTAACCAAAGAGAAATTTATCTGCGACATAGCGTTTTGAGAATCGTTCAGTTTGGGAGAGGCTGAGCTGGGAAAGATAGTGCTTCATAACGTTGACATTGACGTCGACATCAGAATCATCCAGTTGAACCTTTTTCAGGTTTCCATCCAAGCCATATTTCCTCATGATAAATTTGGCATCTTCATGGAATGTTTCATACTTTCCAACAAAGTCATAGTCGACTCCACAAAGATGACAAAGACGATACATCTCTCTCCAACTGTCCTCACCCTTCCCTAACAACTTGTTCAAAGAACTAGAAACATAGTCTATAAATTCTGGGAAAGAAACGGAATGGTTTGAAGATCCATTTGCTAAATCAAGTTTCTCTCGTCTGATTTTCGAAGTGTAGAGCCGTCGTATTTCTTTAAACAATCTATCATCCACTGAGGATTGCCCTCTTTCTTCAAAAATTGTCATAAACGCGGAAAGCAGTCTGTAGTATGGGTTCCTTGTGAATATAAAAGATGAATATTCCTGTAATATCAATCTTACATCCTCTGTTGAATATTGGCTCAACAGACGAGGTCTTCCCGAATTCTTCTTACGTAGATTCTCCACCACAGAGTAGTTGTGGGTGCTACCTTCGTGCGATTCAATGATACTTTTCAGTGTGTTGCAGCCAGCGTGTGGTATGCAACAATAAAACAACTTCTGCTTTTCCATCACGATGAAATGGTCGAGGGTGGACACTTGTTGACGAGTGAGATGGTTGTACAAACGATATGTAGGTTGCATCCTCATAGCCTTACATCCGTGGGCAATAGTCTGCTTCCGGTCTTTCTATTAGATTTGAAAGAAGAAAAAAAAAAGCCTTAAAAACAACTTCCGAACAAAATAATGAGTGTGTATAGTCAGTAGCAATTGCGTTTCTTCTGTTCACTCGAAATATTTTATTGTGTTTCTTTGAGCTATAGAAGTATGGTTTCTGTTATTATAACAATTTATTTCGTTATTTCGTCACTTGTCTCAGATGTAAGGCAATACTGCAAACATGTTATGAATAAAAGTATACTAAAACCAAATTATATCTGTAGAAGGGAAAAATGATCGAACTCATATATACCCATGCAGAAAAATTATGTTTATCTTCATGAACATAAATCATGAAAACCATAATAACATACACTATAGATCGACTGTGTAAAGCAGATTTTGTCGTCAAATGCCGAAGAGGAACGTATACAAGTCTTATAGTGATGTTTTCACTAAAACCGACGCCAGTTGAAATAAACAACAAAATGACATATACTCAGGCGCGTACACAGGGGGGAGGGGGGGGGGTTAAACCCTTTTTTTTAATTATCAAAAAAAAAAAAAAAAAAAAATTATTCCCATGGCTGACCTAAAAAGGTGACCTTACCCCCCCCAGTGGAGCGAAATGTCAAATTTTCAAATTTCGAGAAAAAAAGGGTCCTCTAACCCCCCCCCCCTTGAAAAAATCCTGCGTACGCGCCTGCATTATACTGATGGCATAAAACATCATCCTCGCATTAACATTTAAAAAAAAAAGTTTTCATTCATAAATCTCACCTCTTTTGCATTGTCACTTTCTACAAGGGACAATATTCTGTTGCTTGATTCCAACTTGGTTTCACGATTCATGTTCCTCATTTCTCCAAAGCGTCCACTCAAAATGTGATCTAGTTAAAAGAGGAACATTAGACAAAATATTTCAGTAAGCCTCACTCAAACAGTAGTGTATCAAGAGATTGATAAACAGGTGTCGAAATCCGTATAAGATCACCAGAGGTATATAATGTACCTGGACATTCTTTAGACCCATTGCAAATTTTATTTGTATTTGGGCTTTAAAAAGGGAGTACGATGGCTTCCCCCTTGTTGGATGTGCAACTGCTAAATTAATTTAAGTAAAATGTTGTAAGTATCCGTAATGTGATTCGAATTTGTAAACAACAATAAAGAGAAGCTGTATATACCTGAGTATACATACGAGATAATTATAGCTGTCCCGAGTAACATCAATCCCAAAACGAACATTGATCGTATTATAGACATGATTTGTATGGAGAAGAGTTTTTATAGCAGAAAGTCCCAACTTAATCCGTTAATAAACACACAGAATGAATCGTCCAACATCCAACTGCCTATGAAGACTCTTTTTTGCCTTGTTCATAAGAGTGTGCACCGAGAGAAAACGGGAACAGCTGAACAAACAAAAATGTGGATCTATAAATTCAGCTAGACAAGTTCGAAATGATTTGATTGACATAACCCAGTATATATCAGGGAAGGGTTGATCAAACATTAGAAAGTACTTTCTTTCATACCATGTCCATGACTAAAACAAATCACATTAGATTTCAGAAAATCAAACCATAGGCCTATTATGTTCATGCATCTATGTTTTCAACTTTTACTTATACGTTGACTGGCGCTTGTAGACCAGTATATTGCCAAGTGTTTTACTTAAAATTGTAATAGGTCTGAAGGAATGATAAAATACATTACAGAATTATATCGATTAGCTAAAATCCAGACTAAATTATTGTTTACATTGAATACCAACAGGTGTTAATCTACAATGTAAATATGTTCGATGCCACTTACTCAAACTCTAAAAAGTAAAGTCTCGTACGTGATTCGAATGACATTTTGATGAGTATTTTTCTTTAATGAGTATTTTGATTGCCTTCATATTCCGAATTGAATTGCCTTCATCAATCCGAATTTAATATCGACCTTTTATTTGCCAGGCGTGTCGCTTGGCACAAGAACCAAGCACTAATTAACAACAAAAAAATGATTGAATAGTGCATTAAAAAATATTTGCTTGACATTTTATTTCTGTCTGCTAACTCTTATTATTTGCATACCGGTGGTTTTATATGGGTAAGTTTAAAGCATTCGGTAATACCAGGGAGATGTGACTATGTCTCGCCCCCCCTGGGAATACTATTGATACAATGTGGAACATTAAGGATGTCATCGGAATAGCACGCAAAGTGATTTCCCTCTGATCATGGATCACAATCTATTAACATTATTTTCTTTATTTCTTGCTTTTAAGATTTCAGTTAGGGTCAATGACTTATTATTATATCTTGGGCAAGTTGCTCCTTTACGCCAGTGATGGTGATCGTGAATAGTCACGATCACCATCACTGGCGTAAAGGCGCAGTATTCTGACAACTATGTTAAGGGTATTTTTGTTGTTGTTTAAGTTACCCCCCCCCCCTCCCCGACACGCCCTTTGATCATTGGTTCTCCATTGAGAATCAATGTTATATGTACTCTCAGCCAATCACGTTTCATATTGTACAGTAATGTAAACTATTATCGATTATCAATTCATGTGGACTAGCTTTGTCCGAACCTTTGTCACAAATGTGTTCATGAAAAGCTATTCTTTATTCATTTCATGTTTTCTACGTTCGCTTTTATAATCAAAAGTTGACGTATTATATGGGAAAAATCGTAACCTCCTATCTTATTGAGGATTAAACAAATTAATCAAGATCGTGGTTTTAAAAAAAAACGGGGGGGGGGGCAGTGGCTTAATGAGCAAAAACTTTTGGGGTCAGAACAAAATCAACATCACCACCAAGTAGCATAATGCAGGGGCGGCGAAGCGTCTTCCAAAATAGGGGGCGGAGCACCAACAAAAAGGGGCACTTTCAGGAATAAAAAGGGGCACCTATAAAGGGAAACATCGAAAACACAAACATCATTTTTAGACATTAGTATATACCCCTGCATCGTCATGATTGTGATTACACTACCAAGAAGAGATGACATCAATATTTGTTTCTTTCTTTACGTGGTACAAGATACTGCTTAAGCAACATACTTTGCAGTTCGGTGTGATTGCCTGAATATTAATTTTCGAGTGAGCGAAGCAAGCGAGCAAAAATTCAAAGAATTGTGAGGACCTATAGTTCGAAAAATTACATCTTATAAAAGAAGACAAAAAACAAACCCTGATGAAGAAAGACTGAAAAGTTCTTTTACGAGTAACATAATTATCACATCTATAAAGGCGAGCGAGCCCTTCGGGAAAACTAAAGAAAACGGGGCTCAAATTCGCCTAGAATTAGGTGCATGTTGTGGAGAAATGAAGTAGGTAAGCACTTACCAGAAGGGTAAAGGACAGTTATTAGAAAAGAAAAGGCGCTCGTGTCAATGTAAAAAGGACAATTATCAGAGCTGAAAATGGCACTTCTTGCACCTGAAAATGGACTCTCAACAAAAATGAAAAAGGGTCCTTGTGAGAAAGAAAGTAGGAATTTGTTGAAGGAAAAAAAAGAGGAAAAAGCCTTTCAGATTTTAATAGGGGAATTCATCAGATATGAAAAGGGACATTTTAAAAAGGGGGAGGGGCTCATACAAAAAAGGAATGGAGGCACTTATCCGAAGGAAATAAAGCACTTATTAAAAAGGAAAAGGGGTTTCAAGGCAAAGTAAAAAAAAAAAAAAAAGGGCAAAAATATCAGAGGTGAAAAGGGGAATTTCTCGCACCTGAAAAGAGGTACAAAGAGAGGAAGGACAGTTATTAGAAAAGAAAAGGGGCACTTTTCCTATATAAAGAGAGGCACTTTGGAGTACCTGAAAAAAAAAATGTAAATCACTAGTATCGAATTACCGGTAGAAATAAACCACGTTTGAATTGTATTTGGGAGTCAACTGCCCCCATCACTAGTACGTCAGTTTTTTTTTGGGGGGGGGGGGGGGGACGAAGGAGTATATTGGTCGAGCGTTTTTATTATTTGGTTGTATTCATTGATCAAAACTGCAATTCTTTTACGACATAACATAGTTTATACAAAACTGCAACATAATTATAACAAAGCTTTTTTATCATTTGATACTGAACGAGCATAAATAATTTCACAATGTATAAACTAAAATATATCACAATCCCATAGCAGGAAAATATTACCGCACTACACAGTTATTTTAACCCAAAACTAGAACAAACGTTGCTTTTTTCAGAATCGAACTGAATACATAAAATAAAAAAGCAACATATTATCATACAGAATTGAAATAATAAGTTTTTCTTTTATTAAAGCACAATCTACCCCAAAACCCTCTCCCTTCCTTTTCTTCTCCCTAACTCCTTGGACGTATCCCCCTCCCCCTCTTCCTCCCCTTCCCGGCTTCTCCTCCCTTCTACTTATAAGTCAACCCATCGATTATGATTTTGATGGATAGAAGAAAAATACAAAAATGAACTCTTCCCTCTTCTTCTTCTTCTTCTTTTTCTTCTTCTTTTTCAAATGGTAAATGTTTGCACTTTTCCTTTTCATTTTGTCTCATTGAAGAAACAGTAATTTCCCTAGTTTTTATTTTTCGCTTTTGATGAGAGACGATTTACAACGATTTTTTCTCGTTTATTCGCAGCAAGATCTGCCCTTAAAATCCATCAAACATGGAGATGGGTAAAGCAATCAGTCAAAAGATCAGGGTGAGTGGGAAACTTCAGGTGTTGTGTACTGGAATGACTTGATTTACCTATAAGTTTTAGCCTCGTTTTTTTGTTGAAAACGGAGAATGTCGCATCACCTTCGGTCCTTTCTATTGATGTTTGTGTTGTTTGTTTGTGTGTGTGCTAGTATGGCTACACAGCTGCAGTGCGTCCCAGAAAAAAAAACGAAACCGAGAATTATCGATTTTTTATCATAACTTAATCACAATTATAATTAATAAATGACACATAATTGTAAAGCTTAGATCCTCCTCTTTCATTTGATGCAGCTCATATGATGCAGATTTCATGCACGAGTCATTAAAATCAATTTGAAGAGAGGGAACCAAAAAATCATTTGGCGGACGGTAGATCTATCTGAATTTCAAAGAGAAAATCACATTTCTAGAAAGATCAGTTTCTGCCCTTTCATATGACACCTCAATCAGGAAAAATGAGCTAGGAATAACAAAGTTCTGTTTGTTCAAAGTAATGCTTACATTTCCATTATTTCATTCAACAAATTCGTTTTCACCGGCTGCCTGCTGTAGGCCTTGCAACAAACGGAATTGACAAAAGACTTGACTTAACGTGCCCCTTCCCTTGTTCATACAAGAGGTCATGTTCAGTGGAAAACACTCTGTTCCTCGGATAGGACATTAAATGGAGGCCCCGTGTAGAGAAGAGTCACTACCTTTACACGTTAAGAACCCACTGCACTATTCGTATATGAGTAGGGGGAAACCCCTGTGTAGTGGTCCACCTGCACACACCCCCAGTATAGTACAATAATACTCTGTAGAGAGGTCTGTACTCAAAAAGGAGGAGGAGGAAGAGAAGAGATGAAAGACCTCATGCTCCCCGCATGCAATCTGGGCGAATTCCTCCTCTGAGGTTTCAGAAAGTGACTTTGCAATACTAGTATTAATGCAGAGTGTTTTTAATATACATTTTTTACATTGTCTTCATTACAGGAAGCTATCCGAGCTAAACTGATTGACCTGGGAAATTATGTTGGTAAGTGTGTCATGATAAGTAATCATTTTTGTTGTGTTTGTTGTTTTTATTGTTTTTGTTTGGAGAGGGATTTACATATGTGGTGGTGGTGGTGGTGGTTATTTTACCTGACTGCTAAGAAAGCATAAATGCTTGTAAGTAAGCAACCAGACGGCCAACGGCTTTAGGTCCTCTCCGAGGGACCTGGTAATAAGGGTTAATGCCTTACCAAAGGGCACTAGGGCAGCGCCTTGGTTTCGAACCTGGGTCACCGGATCATGAGACCACTGCTCTACCGACTGAGCTATCATGCTCAGTCGTACATACATACGGTGCACATATAGTCTGTTACATGTAGGCATATCTGTAATGAATCTTCTTACAATTTTTCCATTTTAGAATTTTACTTAAGCATTCTGATAATAAGTCGAAAGGAAATTGTCTATCCTGATAAGTGTGTACTGTGATCCATTTTAGCCAAGTATTCCATCATATACTGACAAAATAATGATGTATTACTTATTTGTTCATTTTGAGCAAATAATCGATCTTGGAGTTTTTATGTTTTGTTGACACAGATGAAGAGTTACCAGACTACATCATGGTCATGATCGCTAACAAGAAGACAGAAGAACAGATGGAAGATGATCTGGCTCTCTTCTTGGGTACAAACACAGATAAATTCTGTGGATGGTAAGATTTGATTGCTCCCTATGACTTGTTCTTGTGGTGGGGTATTTATGTTATGTTTGCTAGAATCATTGAGGAATGGTTTGAATAAAACTGTATCGAGTATTGAATCGTTTTTGATAAATTTTGCACACGTCTTGTTTTTGTGCACAAATATCAATGGAAACCCCTGATACAATTTTTGGTCATGAAATTTAATTTCAAATAAAGAAGTTCGTAAAAGGTAGGGCAAACTGATATTTGATATGGCTCATATTCTATTGCAGTCTTGTGTGATATATGTTGAGAATCCGAATATCCTACCATATATGTAGGATCCCTGTAGATTTTTTGTTTTCAGTTCTTGCTTTTAGAAGAGGCAAAACCAAAAATATTTCATTCCAGCAAAGAGATTCTACATTTTGTGCATTTATTTTAAAAGAAGGGGGGGGGGGCAGATTGTGGGCTACCATTAAAAACAATAAAAAGTGTATAATGTTTTCTGTCACATTATTGCCATTTCTATTTAGGCTCCAAGGTGTCCTCAAGAAGCTCCAGGCAGCGAGGGATGAGCAGAAGGAAAGGAAAGAAAAAGGCAAAGACAAAAAGAAAAAGAGTAAGAAAAAAGATGACAAGAAAGATAAAAGACACCGTACTTCAAGTGAAACCAAAGCAGATGACCAGGGAGAAGGAAGCAAATCATCTGCTGGGACGGACACTGTGAAACAGCCAAATGAGACTACTTCGTCAACAGAAGTCGCCCAGATCAGTGATTTAAACCCTGTTGAAAAAACAAGTCAGAAACCTGCACAGAGTGCTCCAAAAGCTAGCACAGAAACAGCTGCTTCATCAGGGTCCGTACCGACAACTTCCTCTTCTCAGCCTGTAATATCCCTCTTCCAAGATACTGATGACTTCTTTGATGAAGAAATTAAGATGAACGAAGCAGCAAAGAAACCAGCTGCTACTGACTCTGTGAAATCTACACAAGTGAAGGGCAAAGGGAAGATCCAGAGTGTTCTATCACAGTCACATACATCACCTAAAGAGAAAGCTAAGGAAGTCAAGAAGGTATCCCCTAAAGCGATGACTAAGGAGTCTAGGGAGCATTCTACTCAATTCACAGTTGCGATGGGTGGAGGGAGCTCCAGGATCCCAGCCAGAGATCGTCCAGAGTCTGTTCCAGTTAGAGGATCGGTCAAGTCACGTCTTGGTGCTCCTGCCGTCAAGAGGAGGGCTGAAGTAGAGGAGAAACCAAGGATCCTTACTACTATGTCCACAGTGGTCAGAGTACCAGTAAGTACTTCAATCAGAAACATGAATATCTGATGCAAGATCTTAATTTTTAAACATTCTAATAATAATCAAAATAGAGAATCATACTTGCTTCTGAGAATGAGAAGATAATCCCTCTGTACTTTGTTACATGCTATATGAGCTAGCCAGAAAAAGAGGACAAGGATCGTATTGCTTCCAAGAGACCCAGTCTTTCTAAATTTTCACCTTGATAATGTATTTCAAATTATTTTTTATTGTAGCTGGCTGCTCCCCAAGCAGTCCAATCTAAAAATTTATGTTATCTTTTATGGTCCTGAAAGTATGTTAAATGGCATGTCAATTTCAAATATGTCGGGTCATTGGGTTTTGTTTTGTTTTGCAAAGCTGGTTGCGTACATGTAGAGTCATGAGAGACATCTGTGCTAGAATCAATTTTGAGTGTCTATGCTCTGTAACATTCTTCACAGACATAAAAGTTAGCATACATGTAGAAAACAGCCCTTGGTACATAACGATATGATTTTCCTGATTATTATGTGTTTCTCTGTGTCTCTCCTTTGGTAGATTGTAACCATGAAACGCTCAGGCCCCGGCTCTGTCATCGGTCAAGTTATTGAGGGCAACGATGAGGATTCTGATGATGATGAACCAGTTGTAAAGAGAATGGCCAGCACTGTCAAGCCACGGAGGAGGTACAGGCTTGTCTTATGAATACCATGTTTGGGCTATCATTTCTAGATTTACTAGTTAAAGGTAGTCTTTCAGGAGTTTGTGTATACATGCAATGCATGACAAGTCTTATGCAATGCAGAAACAACAGTAAAAAGATTCACCCCCAGTTTGCTCAGACCAGATTTTGTTAAGTTCCCAAGTAATGCTTGTACAAAGCTCATACTGGGACATCTAGTTATGTGGGATTACTCAGATATTTAATTCCACTTCCTCAATCAGACGGTAAATTATTGAACAGAATAATACTGGATATTTATCAGTTGTAGGTTTGAACAAAATGAAATATTCCATAATTTGATGTAATTATTGTTGTTCCTGCAGACAACCCTTACCTAAGACCAAACAGAACAGCATGGCATTGTTGAAGAAAGCTATAACACAAGCCCAAGAGTCAACCAGTGTGTTTCCAGCAGCAGGTCAATTCTCAGAGCCAAGGAGAATGATCGTCAGATCTGCAAGTCAGCCGGGGACAATGAAAATTGTGGCTAGGTAAGAACTTGTTTGTAATATGATCATAACCCAATAGGCTCATACTGCCAAAGAATTTGTTAGATTAATTTTGGTGAGACAAGAAATAATTTTTTTCTCTCGTCGTGAAATTTAGAATATGGTCATTAACTGTAAAACTAAATTTGAATATTGTCTTATCAAGATGAGCAGTGCAATGAGGAAATGTAAATAATACGTTGTCCTATAATATTTATTTGTGATATTAAAATACTTGTAATCTCTGGGGTAGAATTAGTTACACCTTGTTTTAAAATGATAGAATGAGAATACAAATCCTTTTTTTAAATTTTCTTGGTAACAGAGAGACATAGTGGTATTGCACGTGAATCAAGTTTACCACCAACGGGACTCTATCATATTCATTAGGGATGTGATATTTGCTTCTTTGTAACTTCATGCTTGCCTTATTTTTCCAAAGAAACAGGGTATATGCTTGAGTTGAAGTTGGGTTTTGGGTTAGGGTTTAGTTTGAGGCATCATCTTGGGTTAAGGGGAGGGGGAAGTAATAAATAAGACTAATAACATAAATTTGATTGCGTACCAATGATTATAAGAGTGCTTTATGTCACGCAATCCTCTTATTTACTCGAGGCTAAATTTGATTATTTTGAACTGAAATCTATCCACTTTTTTGTACTCATGGAGCAGGTACAAATCATACCGATATTCTCACTTTTGTGTATTAAATATGAAGTAAAAACATGCCATGAGAATGTTTATTGAGAAAGGGTATGACTTAAGTTTAACCTATGGAGCAACTCTATCTCTTTCAGATCTATCCCAGCTGACAAAGAGCCTTCCAGCAAGAGACAAGCAGCACCTAAGACGATGTTTACAGCTGCTGTCAGAGCAACAAATCAGGCTGAAGTTACTCCAAGGCCATCGACAAAGGCATCTGTGTCCGTCAGACCCCTTGGTCTCATGTCCAGATCCCGCTTTAAGGAAGCCAATGAGAGAAACTTTGATGCACATACCTATCAGAGAGTTGAGAAGAAGGCTGAAGAGGAAGAGGAGGAGGTGGAGGCGAAGGAGCTGGAGGAGGAGGTGGAGGAGGAGCGGGAGGATGAGCAGGAGCAGGAGGATGTTGCGGAGAATGTGGAGAATGTGGAAGAAGATGACGATGTGGAGGAGAGGGAAATAGAGCTGGAAAGGGCAACAGCAGACAGCCCAGGGGAGAGTGTGGAAGATGAAGATGGTGGGTATCAGTTTATGCTTTTGATTTGATATGGATGTTTTGAGGATTTCATCAGATAGTTCATATCAAAAACGACAGAAAGCTTATTTCTGAAAAGAATCTCAAAAAATTATACTGTACTCATCCAGACTTTATACTTCAATTCATGACGTGGTGCTATGATTTTTCTTTAACTGAAAGCCTTAAGGTCTAAATCTGATAAATTAGCACTCACTATCTATTGTCTGAATTACCGGTAATCAAACTGATTCTTAAAACTTTAAATTGCTTGTTCAACAGAATTTCATGCGTTTGTTTTTGCAGATCAACGTCAGATAATCAAAATCATGGAGGCAGATGAAGCAGAACCAGTAGTTGTTGTGGAGCCTGACGAGGGGGATGTGAAAGTGGTAGAACTAATTGAAGAGGATGAAAGGGAGATGGAGATACAGGAACAGGTGTATGACACCAGAAATACCACCATAGTTCGACCTCTGCAGTATGATAGGCTGACAACTGTTCAGAAAAGGTAAACGGAAGATTTCAATTGTATTCAAGAATGGTGCATTATGGTGTAGTGCAGGGGTTCTCAAACTTTTTCCTTATGGTCAAATCTGATCTAAGGGGAATTATTTTGATACTCTCTCTCATCCGAGGGGAAGGGGGGGGGGGGGGTGAGCTGAGTTGTGCCCCCTTGGAATGTCGGCCATGGAATGAGGAATATTTTTTAGATTTGGAATATTGATAGAGTAGATCATAAGAAGAATAAGTTCTTTAAGTTTTATATCTACATCTCAAATGGTTTACGAATGAATCCTAATAAACAGTACCATTCACATATCCGCGACGTGACAATTCTGCATTGTGAGCAGCACGGCAACTTTTGACGATAAGCAGTAGGGTCAAAATTATATGAAACTTGTGTCTTAGGGTATAAAAAATTAAAAAAACAGCCTCCCGGATTGACACGTCCCTGACTTTGAGAAGCCCTGGTTTAGTGGTTCTGTTTCATCCTTGTATCACTCCGTCACAAAGGTTGTGAGTTTAAATTTGTCAGGGCACGTTTGAGATTGTTTTTTGGTTTACCTTTGTACAGAGAACGGCCTTCACAGCCCCAGCCCCAATACCAGTTCTCTCCTCCTGCACCGGAAGACTCCAATCCTCGCTTCATAGTTACCATGGAGGGCAAGAAACGGAAGCCTCCTCTTCGTCAAGATACCAGAGGTGTACGCAACCAAGCACCTGCCATGCCCACCGGTTCTCAGTACAATCCTACACCCATCTCTCGATTGGACCCAAACCAACGGTTCTTACTTTCTCGGTACGAGCCAAGTGAAGAGATGGAGATGGACTCCTTGGAGGAGAAGAGCTTTGAGTATGAACCAACCCAACCAATGCAATACCAACAGGTACATAACCATTATTAGACAACATGAAGAAGACTATGTAGTGGAGGCAAAACGTTCTTTAACTTTAGAAATTGGATTTTAATATATATATTGCCTTTATGTGTAGAATAAGCAAGAAATTTAGTTTAGTTTTATCAGAATTATTTATCAGGTTGTGACTGAGAATATCTGTGGATTGTAGGAGGTAGTTGTTATTTGTGTAGCAGTACCACCTAGAAAAATACAAGAGTTGGCTTGAATGGCTTGATATCTCATTGGCTCAAACGAGGCCTCTAACAAACTGTCTGATTTTAATATTTAATATCAGCCACTTAACCTACAACTCCAATCTGTACCATAATCCCTATTTAATTAAAAACAAACTAGTATTATTTTATTTGTAAATAAAACAGATATGTTCTTTTGCTGTATTTCAGTCTTATTACATTTTGCTTATCAATTGAATTTTGAAGCTATATATTATTCATGAAACTTAAAGCTGATTTACATCAAATCTTGTTTCATTAAGTTTTTTTTCGAAGACAAATCAGCTTTGTGATAACTGTATAACGGTATAGCATTCCTACATGTATATTGTAATTATTGACCTGACTGCATTCTTTCCGCTTTGCAGGTTGTTTTTAAAGAGAGGTCATCACTATTTGAGAAGGAGCTTCCTATGAAGCGTGTTGGTCCCACTGAGCATCAGCTGGTGAAGGATTCTCTTTACTCACCACCCCAGCCTCAGGTCGCACCTGTTACATTCACTCTCCAGGAGTCCGATGAAGGTAATTTCTTTCAGTCAAATACTCTCAACCACTCGGGCTTGATAATAACCCGATATAAATCAGTTTTTCGATTAAAAAAAAAAAAAAAAAATCCCAATTTTTGTCGTTGCTGATTTTACCCCTATTTTCCCCTTATTTTCCCTATTTTCTCACTCAAAAAGGGGGGGGGGGGATGTTGTTAGATGCAATTTTGTTTTTGTTTTTTTATTTTTTTTACTCAAGGGGGGGGGGGGGTGGTTGAGGAAGAACAAAAAAAACACAACCCTTTAAAAAGTTTGTACAATTTCGGAATTGTCTTTTAAAGTTAATAGAACCTCTATGAATCTTAGTGGTTGTTGGGGCTAAACTAAAGGACAACTATCCCAGCATGCATCATCACAATGCATCAGGGTCAGGGTTAGGGTCAGGGTCAGGTTTAGAGGTAGGATTAAGTTAGGGTCAGATTAGGTTTATGATCAGGGTTAATCCCTAGGGTCAGGATTATAGTTAAAATTAATTACACTGTGGAGGATTCTGAAGTCATTCCATAGTTAATAATTTGCTTGCAAACCAATATTTTTAAAACAGAATTTTTGGCTATGGATTAAAATTTCCAAATGTTGTAGTACTATAGAGAAAATCTTTAGTTTAAGAAGTTCATCACTCCTTCAGCTATTAAGATATCTGTGACTTGAAACAGAAATTTGAAATCCATACCAGGTTATGCCTGCCAGCCTTGCAGGTGCGCATATATCATACCACTCACAAGTCAGTACAGTTATGCATTACTGCTTATATATGTTCAGTATTTCAGTGAGCCAACTGGCACAGCTTGCCCTTTGAGTGAAGGCAAGAGTCGCACTATGTGATGTTTGTGTTGGTTTCAAATGACCTATAGTGCTTTGGTACAAAGAGCTGAAAAATCCCAATTTTTATCTGGTAAACTCCTGGCATTTTACTTTATCATTTATCAGAGAACTCAAACATGTTTTCATGCTAATATGCCTTAAGCAGAACAAATGAAGATCATAATTTATCTTGAAATCTCTATTCTTTATTACTTGACATGTGATTTGTCGTATCATACTGATCTGTCTATCCAGAGAACTTCCTTTGTTGTTAAGGAAATATATCAAGTTCAGATATACTTATTTGAATCTGTGTTTGTCATTCCCTTTTGGTATCAGGCATTAAGGGTATGGCAGTGCAACAGTATAAATAAGGACACATAGAAATTAGAATTGATTTATAGATGTTTCATTCAATTTTTTTCCTCCATTCTCTTCAATTGTTCCAAAACTTTGATATAAATGACTGAATCTTCATAATTTAATCAATTTTTTCCCTTTTCCTATCCCCTCCTGCATAAAGAACATGGCCATGCTGAAATGGAAGAGAAAGTGAATGAGAGATGTAAGTTTTGGCCAGCATGTAAGAATGGCAGTGAATGCAACTTCTTTCACCCAAGTACACCATGCAGGTAAGGATCATTCAAACATTTTTTTAATGGAAACTATTAATCTTTAGAAAGAGAAGTGGCCATCAGCTGATTTTTTTATTTATTAAATTGGATTGTTATCTCTTAAGAAGTTACGAAATGTGGAAGAAAGAAAGGGTTTGAAATTTGAGACAATGTAATTTACAAAGTAATACTACAAGTAATTAACAGCATTCATTAACCACTAGCACTTTTGTTCAATTTATTCAACCCATACATGCCTTTCTGGCTGTAATTTCAGTAAAAGGGAGAATTATGTTTTTTGCAGTCTTACTGCATTTTATGCCTCCGCTACAAATGTTTCTGGGTGTCCGTCCATCCGTTCTTGTGATTGCGTTATATCAAGAACCAATTGATGGATTACCGCCAAACTTGGGTCTTGTATGTATCTTGCAGAGCCAATGAACTGATTTAACTTTAGGATCATGAGGTGCTCATTATGTATGCAAAGATAGCAGTGAATGCATTGTCAATACTGACAGATGGATTACTATCAAACTCTGGACATGTATGTATCTTGCAGAGCCAATGAACTGATTAGATTTTAGGGTCATGAGGTCAAAGGTCAAAGGTCACAGGGCTCATTGTATGCTAAAATAGCTTGTGAATGCATTCTCATTAGAACTGACAGATGGATTACTATTTAACTCAGGACATCTTGCAGAGCCAATTAACTGAGTAGATTTTAGGGTCATGAGGTCAAAGATCAAAGGGTCATATATGTATATGAGAAATTGCTTGTAATCACGATATTCTGAGAACCTGTTAATGGAATACAATGAAACTTGAATTTGAAAAATTTCTTCTGTTTTGGTTTTTAAACTTGCTCTATGACGGAGGCATCATTCTGCGCGCAGTCAAAGTTCCATCTAGTTTTTTAATTACATAGTCAAACTTATTCTTTTACATATAGTACATCTTCACTGAATGCAGTATAAATGACTGCAGTATTTTTTTGTTGTGAGATAAAAGAGAAAGAGAGAGAGAGAGAGAGAAAGAAAGAAAGAAAGAGAGAGAGAGAGAGAGAAAGAAAGAAAGAAAGAAAGAAAGAAAGAAAGAAAGAGAGAGAGAGAGAGAGAGAGAGAGACGGATCTTTTAACCTACAATACATTAGTTCTAATTTAGCACAACATACCTAAAATATACCATTTTGTGTGAATTTATTGTACAATAAAGCAAACCTAAGTTTCTTTCCGAACAGAAAAGGTATGATGCACAATGTAGTTCACATGGGTCAGAGACTTTCTTGAACTTGCATCCACTGTTCATTTCCATTTATTTACATCTAGTAATGTTATTTCCTTGTCTATGAGCTATGATTGATTTTCAAGGAAGCATTAATTGACAAGAAGAGGCAACGGTTCATCCATTTTTCCCATTAGCTGATTAGGATGTCTTGTTGTTGTCTGTCTATTACTGACACTCATCCATCATATCTAAATTTACAAAGGCCTTGAAGCTACACTCATAAACAAGGATTTTGTTGAAGCATGTGTTCATGTTATTTTAAAGGGAAAGAGTAAATGAAGCATTTTTTGTAGCCTCTGAGGACTTGATCATTTTTTTTTCTTTCTGTGACAGTTCACACCAAATTCATTTTTTTCACAAAGACTTGCGCATGTCGGTAACAAACCTTTCCTATTACCTATACCCGATTGTGTAAGTATTCAATGATGTAAGAAATCATTATTTTGCTGTTTTCATTACCTTAAAGACAAACTTGAGTTCTGGTAAAAAAAGAAAATGAATTCTCACAGAATCAAACAAAACTTACACTGAATGTTCAAGATTACATATAAATGTCATGTGCCAAAAAAAATTGGTAGAAAATGTATACTGGCTGAATAATGAGTTCAAGTTCAAGTTCATTTTATTTCACATCCAATAAAAACATCATTATAACATTAAAAATACAATTATACAAAATGCAATATATATAAAATATAATAAGAACAAATAAAACAACAACAGTAACACTAAAATTGATTAATGGGTGGAGTAGGGATGTGAGGGACCAGCAAAGGCCATTGACCTATCTAGGCTGGTCCCCTTTTTCTACAACCCCAAAAGTAAAATCTTCAGTAATAAAAAGCAAAATATTGACAATATAGACATTACATTAACTAAGACATATAAACACACATACAAGGACAGGCAGAATTAATAAAAGCTAAAAAAAGTATAATGTAGCTTGATATTTGTTTGTGTTTAAAATTACGCTTAAAACTAGACAATGTTGGGCATGATTTGAGAGAATCTGGTAAGTTATTCCAAATAATGGATCCTTTATATTTTATTACTGTTCTTGACAAATTATAGTGAAATGAAGGAACATAAAGTTTGTGTGAATTTCTAGTACTATATTGATTTATATCTCTATTAAAAATAAAATAATTATTAAAACAATCAGGTAAAGTAGTTATATTGTACATGTAAGAGAACATAAAAGCTCCAATACTTATATCATATAGATCATAAAGTTTTAAAAACTTCAGCTTAAAAAACAATGTACCTGTATGTGCTCTATAATATGAGTTTGTTATAACCCTGACGGCTCTTTTTTGTAATAAAAATAGCTTTTGAAGCAGATACGAAGTGCAGTTGCTCCATACAATAATACAATAATTAAAATAAGGCAAAATCATAGAGTTATACAATTGTACAAGTATGCGTAATGGTAAAATATCTTTGAGTCTATTTAAAACACCAATGACCTTTGACAGCTTGTTAGAAATATAATAAATGTGGTCCTTCCACGTTAAGTTTTCATCAATAATGACGCCTAAGAAAGTAACTTGGTGTACTTGCTTAATTTCTTTACTATTTATACAAATCTTGATAGCAGCTTCATTTACATATTTATTTCTTGTTTTAAAAATTACATAGTTTGTTTTTTCAAAATTAATCAACAATTTATTGGCAAGGAACCACTTGTGTATTTTAACAATTTCAGAATTCAATAGAATATTTATTTCTACGGGATCTTTACCAGATAAAAACAGAGTGGTGTCATCAGCAAATAAAATAGAAGATAAAATATTGCTTACAGATGGCAAGTCATTGATATACAGTAAAAACAGGAGCGGGCCAAGATTAGAACCTTGCGGCACACCAGTTAGAATAGTGCTGTGATCAGAGTAATAATTACCAAAGCTAACATATTGCTTTCGGTTTGATAAATAATTTTTAATTAAAAGAAGAGGAATTCCTCTTATACCATAAAAACATAACTTATTTATTAAAATATTATGATCAATACAATCAAAAGCTTTGGATAAGTCTAGAAATACACCAATTCAAAATTAATTAAGTTCAAAAGCATTTGCAACTTTATCAATAAAATCAAGAAGAGCATGGCAAGTACTGTATCCTTTTCTAAAAGCAAATTGATTTTCATACAGAATATTATTTTTACTAATAAAACGAGTCAATTGATCACATAAAATCTTTTCAAATATTTTGCTAAAAACAGATAACACAGATATCGGCCTATAATTATTTAAAAGTGACTTATTGCCTTTTTTAAAAACAGGAATCACCTTTGCAATTTTTAGAGCATCGGGGAAAATACCTTGTTCAAAGGAAAAGTTTAAGATATTGCACAAAGGTGTAACAATCATATAAATCGAGTTTTTCAATACCTATATACCTATTTTTCAATGAGCATAGAAAGATAAGGAAATCAAGGGAAGTAGGCCCGACACCATTTGTTTAGTCCCATGTACATGTACCGGTACATCTTTCTGTGTACAGTGCTTGTTACTTTACTAAGACTGGGCCAAATTTATTATGATTTTGATGACTCCAGAACCTTGCAGTACTGGTACACACCAATACTTACATGCTACATGATCAACTTTTCTGATCCATTCCACACCTTTTCTTTCACAATGCAATCGCATTACCAGAACTCAACTTTATCTTTAATACTGACATGTACATGTAGCTGCAGCATCAGTTGCAATTAGAAATGTCCATCCTCTGTGTAGGAGGAGCCTGTTCCCTTCCCACTGATACATATGTGCCTTATATAATAATTAAAATATGTGGGAGGCAGAGTTGCTACATTGCTCAAAACAGGCTTAGAAAAAACATTTATACCCTTTTTATAGTTTGATTATTTCAATCACATTTGAAAGTTTATATTATCTTATTGGAGCCAGATGGATGTTAACTCAAATCTTTTTACTTAATGACCCTCTGGCTCTGAACAGACAACATGTAGACTGCAAGAAAATAATAAATATTAAACCAATTTAAAATTTGGAAATAAGAATAACATTACAAGTTCAATTCATGACACAGAGTTTGGATGACTGTTAATTCACTGTAGTGTCATTCATGCTATATGAGAGTGATATATCTTCTATTAGGAAGCTATTTCCAGCATCTATGATTCAAGGTAGAAGACATAATTAGAGAAATCAGACCTAACCTGTAGTTGCTAATTGCTATTACCCCTATTCCCTGATGATGAAAAATGTTTGGTGTACATGTACTGTATGCATCTCAGAATCTCTTGCCTGTACCAAAGAGTATGCTTCAATGTATCCCATTGGTGCATGTGTTCCTGCCATTATATAAAATTGCGATTGGATATTTTCATCCTTATTTTTTCTTTATGCACACTTTCATGCGCTTAGATGTGGAAGAATTGCATACATGGTATGCAAGGTATTAAACCTTTACTTGCCATATTAGCTTATTAGCTCAAACAAGCAATAATAATGAAATAATCTACAATAGATTACAGAAGCATTAATGGGCAAAACACAATTTTTTTTATTAGAAACATGACTACTTGATGTGATCACTTGATTAAGCAGATAGTTTAACCATTTGTCTACAGAAACCAAGTAGGTCCAGCGTAAAGTCTATGGGAAATTGGGTTTCAGGAATTCAGTAGTTAAAAGTTTAATGCGGGAAATCTCTAAATAAAAACTCCAATACTCTAGTCTAAACTCTAATTAAACTGCCTTGAGCAAAAACAATGTAGCAAAGTGATTTCATGAGTGGCACATGTTTATTTAAAGACGAAAACAATCAGAGAGAGAGAGAGAGAGAGAGAGAGAGAGAGAATTTCAAAGAAAAAGAAAAAGAGAGGGGGAGGAAATAGTTTTGATGTCTCTGCTTTAGAGTACAGAAATGCCCGTAGTGCTTTGTCAACAATCACTTCAATACTTACAAAATATTATCTTTTTTTTCCAGTCCGTTTGAAAAGATCAAAAGCCTTGTTGAAATGTGAATTTTATGGTATAGTGTACATGTGAATGAAAGAATACATGTAGGTGAGGTCCCGTCCCAAGGTACTGGGTCTATTTTCGTTCTTAGGAAATTTACAAGAAAATGGCATTATCTTGATGAAAGAGGTTGATCTAACTGTCGGTAACTCCAGGGAAATCTCTAACTCCTGATATTCTGGAAAACAAATTCCAGCAGTGCCTGTCTAGCTGATGAGTATTCCTGTTTCAGATTATGCTTCCCTTGTCGCCATAGCCTCAAGGCAGATTTCAAGCCTACGCTTGTGTCTTAGCTGTAAAACGCTAGTCTCAAACTTCCAACCTTCATTGTATGGCTATACTTGATAAGTAATTAATTTTTCTAGTCTGAACATCATATAAAAACGTCATATAATGAATATCCTATTACAAAGTGCATGTTTGGGCATTGTCCTAAACAATATATATGCAAGTACATTTTCTATAGTCTGAACAAGTTATTGGTGTAAAACAATAAATCAAATCAAATCAATTCAAATCAAAGTCACACTTCTCACCAAACTATAACTTCAGTGACTTTGTTTAGATGTTCAGCTGGATCATTTTTTTTAGCATGAAGGTTTTTTAATGCAATATGGGGTACAGTTTTTAAATACTTGTCTCTTGTTTCTTGACTACCCTCTTCTACCCAACATATGAATATGGCTGAGAAATCTCCTTTGAGAAGTGCATGGAGAGTTATGTATTTATAGATCATAATATTTACATGATCAGCAATATTTTTTTTGTATGACCAATGACCTTCAATATTGACCTCTACTACATCAAATGGACAGTGGTCAGATCCAGTACTTTTTATGCCTCCATTACGAAGTAGCCGGAGGCATTATGTTTACGGGTTGTCCGTCCGTCCGTACGTCCGTACGTCCGTACGTCCCGTTCTCGTGATCGCGTTATCTGAAGAACTGATTGATGGATTCCTGCAAAACTTTGGTCATGTATGTATCTTGCAGAGCCGATGAACTGATTAGATTTTGGGGTCACGAGGTCAAAGGTCAAAGGTCACAGGGCTCATTATGTATGCTGAAACAGCTTGTGATCGCGTTATCTCAAGAACCGATTGATGGATTCCTGCCAAACTTAGGTCATGTATGTTACTTGCAGAGCCGATGAACTGATTAAATTTTGGGGTCATGAGGTCAAGGTCAAAGGTCATGCAGCTCATTATGCATGCAAAAATAGCTTGTGATCGCATTATCATTAGAACAGATTGATGGATTCCTCCCAAACTTAGATCATGTATGTATCTTGCAGAGCCAATGAACTGAGTAGATTCTTGGGTCATGAGGTCAAAGGTCAAAGGTCATGGGCTCATTATGTATGCAAAAATAGCTTGTGAACGCATTCTCATTAGAACTGACAGATGGATTACTATTTATCTCGGGACATCTTGCAGAGCCAATGAACTGAGTAGATGTTAGGGTCATGTGGTCAAAGATCAAAGGGTCATATATGTATATGAGAAATTGCTTGTAATCACGATATTCTGAGAACCTGTTAATGGATTACAATTGAACTTGAATTTGAACAATTTCTTCTGTTTTGGTTTGTAAAATTGCTCTATGACGGAGGCATCATTTCAACTGCGCGCAGTCGAAGTTCCATCTAGTTATTCATGATATGGGTATCTTTGAAAACAGGCTACTTACTCTTTATCCGTTATTAAGTTTTCATCCAAGCTGTATATTTGGAGCAGATTGTCTTTGATCATGTGATGAATCCAGTTTTTCTATCCATCTAAGCTCTTTTTGATTGAATGGATCAACTGAATTGTATTATGGCCAGAGGCTTGTAAAAACAAGTTCTCTTATTTTAATCTTGAAAAGAATGAGAAGAAAAAAGAATCTTTATCTGTTTTTGTTATAAAATGTCATGAAGTAATCTGTTTTTTTTTCTTTATTGACTTTTAAAGTAAAAGTTAGAAATATGCAAGTTGGAATTTGTTCTACAAATCACCTTCTCCTAGGGATTTTCTGTTGTCTCTAAATATACTCTTGTTTATTTTGACCCTTTTTATATTCCTTTTATCCACAGAACATTTCCAAACTGCAAATTTGGTGACAAGTGCCTGTTTATTCATCCTAATTGTAAGTTTGATGCGACCTGTATGAATCCTACCTGCCCATACACCCATGCTACCCGGACTAAACCAGCTCCTATTATCATCCAGGCACCTCCGATAAGAGCCTTTCCTACATTCAAACAAAGTAAGTGATATATGGTTGTAAAACTTTTCCTGAATTTACCTGTATGGTGTTGAGATGCTGACAAAGAAATTGTAATACCATATTGCCTTAAAAACAGACAAACTATACTTATTGGATGCAGAAGAAGTTTTAAAAATACAAATGAAGATGGTGTTGATAGAGAGTTGAACTTTAAATAGTGCTTCTGAAAACATCTCTTATCAAAAAGGATAGATAAAGCCATAAAGGTCATTAGAAATGATAGTTATGACAGATGTAAGCCATTCTATCTCTTTCATCTCTATGCTCCAATTTATTTATAAGGTCTTAATGACAGCCTCCTTCATGCACTTCTCATCATAAACCATCAGGAATTAGTTGATTTCACTTTTTGATGTAGGCGATTTGATAAAAAGATTTGCCATCAGATAATGTACGTCTCATGGAAAAAAACGATTAGTTTATTTTAAAAGAAGTTCATAACAATAATTGCTTCTTATGAATTGCTCATATCTGTCTTACTGTAAGTGATGCTTATGGCGCTCAGACAAGTTAGAACAGATTTTTGAACATGTAAAGCCTTCTGTTCAATTATGAAAACCATTTGAGATTTAAGCCAGTTCCCCCATTTTGATCTATTCCAGTTTATTTCTAGGGGCAAATATGAAAAATAATGATCTTTTTCTAATAGACAATGTTCCATCTTGGAATATTTGATTGATCTACTTCATGTGATATTTTTATTAGAACTACCGTAGCACTAAATAATTTCTCAACCTTAGTAATATATACTGTATATTCCAATTTATTTCCAGGGTCACCTAACAGACTAAACATGTATGTGTGATTTTATGATTGAATCTCTCATAAATGACCCTTTTCTTCTTTTTTCATCTATTCTATTTCATTTCTGGGGGCACTTTGATATTGATAACTAATTTCTTCTGAGTGATTGTGATTCCATATTGCATTAATATTGATGAAAAGTGATTTAGGTTGTCGCTTCTTTGGGGAAGAAGCTTTGAGTAGGTAATAAATGATTACCCACTCAAATCCTGTGGATTACTTATCTTCTAAAATTACCCCTTTCTAGTTGATTTAAACAAAACCAATCGCTTCTGGGTGATTGTAATTCCATTTTGCGTACCGGTAAATAGTGATAAACAAGGGGTTAGGTTGTCACTTTTTTTAAAGAAGCTTTGAGTAAGTAATAAATGATTACCCACTCAAATCCTGTTGATCACTTATCTTCTAAAATTGTCTCTTTTTATTGGATTGGAATAAAAGAGACCGAATAGGTTTATTTTTGGTGAAAAAAAAGAATAGTTGATTTATGAGAGCGAGCCATGTTTGTTCACAGACTTAAATAGAGGCATTAACGTATGTAAAAATAAGGCCGGCCGGGGAGAGGTACATTTTAACACTCTTAATCCACACTGCCACCATCACCCCCCCCCCCTTCTCCACAAAGTAGAGCCAAAGAAGTGAAGGATAACACTTTTCTTGCCATATCTTCCCAGGCTGTTGCACTTTAACTTGTATTTATTTATTTATTTCTGCCAATGTAAATGAATTTATTGCTGTTCTTCTTTATTTTTCCAGCAGCTGCAAACAAGATGGTGTGCAAGTTTTATCCTCATTGTGGTAACACAAAGTGTCCATTCATTCACCCTGCTCCTAAGGTAAGCACATGATTATATAATAAACCCGTGACTTGAAAGGGTGTTGGGGAAAGTGTGAGAGCATGATGTGATATTGGTATTGAGAAGTACATGCACGATATATGAGAGATCAAGATGGTCATTGTTTTGTTTTTTTAATCCCAAACTGGACTTAATACTGTAGTATTTAGGCCGATGGATTTGTGTTACATCTGTATCAATATAGAGTATTGGTATATATGTTTATAATTCCCTTCTGTTCGGTTGTGTTGTTGTGTTAGGCTTACTAGCTGTCTTAGAGGAATTCAGTTTCCTGTCTGAAGATTTATCGACTGAGGTAAGAATGTTACTTCACTGTAATATGCACACGATATGTGAACAAATATCACTAGAAAATATGACCAATAAACTATGATTGTCGACTTCATGTGTGAATGAAATTGTAAAGACTGCAAAGCTTTTTCTTTAAGTTTAACTGACCAATTGCAGCTGATAAAGGGCTACATGTGTATGATGTGTCTTTTATTTGGTTTAGAACACAGTGGAAGTATTAACAGAATATTTCATGGTAAATTCAAGGATACAGTTTTCCTCAACGTTAAACACAACAAGCCTCCCCCTTTAGAAAAAAAGAAACAACTCTAAGGTCAAGTTTTCATTCTGTCATTTCATTAGAATTTATAATTTGAGTATCTATGATTTAATTATCCTTGAAATGCACTCATTCCTATATTTCTGACCCAATTCTTCTTTTTCTTAAAGTTGGACACCTGCAATCCCTAATGAAATTAGTTTACAATTGGGAATTAACAAGAAATTTCTCTTTCAACCATTAGCCTACCATATGCCTTAAAGTTTAAACCACCTGAGTTCTAATTATTATCTTGTTTATTTTGACAAAGAAAAGCCTTTCCATCTTCTTGAAATTCATAATGGGCGTATGAAATATGAGATTAGAAACATTGTACATGTTTTATCATGTGATATAAATATTAATACAGAAAATGGAAAAAAGGCCGTGATTGAAAAGCAAATTTTAGTTGTGAACAATGTTCTTAAACTTGTGGCAATGTAAGGTTTAAAAACAAGAAATCCATGTTTTTATTTTGCTAATATTCATTGAATACTTTGGAATGACTGCTATCCTGGGGGGTGTTTCACAAAGATCCTAAGTTGAATTTATCTCTAAGTTGAACTTGGACTTAACAATTATGGAAAGCTGTTAGCATCTATGAAAATATTTTGTAAAAGTTATTTTTAAATGCATAAAGTGTTGATTCTAATCATTCATATTTTCTATGATCAAGGAGATTGCTTGTTCTTGATGTGGAATTTATGAAAAGTCTAAAATACTCCAAATAATTTTGTTTCGCTGTTGAATACATTTTTTTTTAAGGCTACAAATGGCTCTCCATAATTTTTAAATCCAACTTAGAGTTAAGTTCGACTTTGAATCTTTATGAAACACCCCCCAGGTCTCATATTCATAAAACTGTAAGTACTAAGCCTAGTTGTCAACTACATCTAAATATGTGCTATAGCCTATGAAATAAGTTGACAACTAGCTTGGTAAGGATTTATGTATATGGGCCCTCTTGCATAGAAATCATGGTAACAATGCTCAACAGTCCATCAAATCAAGGTTTCCATGGAAGTTACTGTTAATTGCAAACTGTAAGTTTTATGCAACGGTCCCTGGTTTCTGTAAATCTTGTTTTTTTCTTTCTTCTTAAAGGTAAAGACCAGTAATGGTCATGCGATTGCATTGTGAAAGAAACGTTGTGGAATCGATCAGAAAAGGTCGATCATCTAGTATCTAGCATCTGCAAGGTTCTGGAATCATCAAAATGATAAGAAATTTGGCTCATTCTTCGTAAAGTTACAAGCACTATACACAGAAAGATGTATATGGGACTACCCTATCTCTCTCACCAGACCATGAGAGAAATAAATTTACCAAATATATGAATTAGTAGGCGGTTTCCCGGCAAATTTTTTATCATCATGTATTAGTCAAAACATATTCTTTCACATGATTGGTAATGAGAGCTTCCATTTCATTTTTTGAAATTGGGGCGTTGCCAATACTGGTCTTTACCTTTAAAAAATATCTTTACACTGACTGGATTTGAATTTGAAGTTGTCTTTTAATATCAAAGGATACATAATGATCATTTTTTTCCATAATGCTCTTTCATAACCCTTATCATCACTGCACACTTTAAGCCATTCCCTCATCTAGAAACAGTCACATACAATCCATATGATATCTTGTAGTACTCTGACTCATGAATTAAATGAATGAACAATGACAATTTGAATTGAAGACACAGAGTTTTCCCCATTTTAAACTCCTATATTTGCATTAAAAAATCCCAATGTTGAAGTTTGAAGTTTTGAAGTTTTATTTATTCCACATTTTACATAGAAAAACAGTTTATATTCTTGTCTTTGTTAAAGGTGAAATTCAAAGAAAATCACAAATATGACAACTAATGTATCACTAGAAACTGGTAAGCTAACAGATGGCCATCGTAAAAGTTATAGGTCAACTACATATCGGGTGATTTATAAAAATACAAATACAACCGCCTCCATAGCAGCTGGGATATACGAGAGATTCGCCGGAAAAATAACAATGTTTTAATGACGTCACTATATGGACCAACACTGCCCAAGCAGACGACATCCCATAGAGAATGAACATAATTGCAAAGCTATTATTTCTCAAATTATAATGAGTTTAGTGTATATAAATGTAATGGCATGTAAATCCATTCAAAAGGGGATATGACCTGATTCTGAAAACTAAAATCTTTTGCTTGTAAATACACAGGATAGGGGTTAATTAACAATCAAAGAAACCAGACTTTCAAATTGAAAAACCCCTGGAATGATATTAAGGACGGCATTTTTTCCCTCTTGAAACGCCGAAAATACCCTGGTGTGTGCAGCTGAATATACAATGGCGTCTTATTTTGTTTACAAGCAATAGATTCCTTTGTTTTTGTATCGCTGCATTTGTCATCAAAATAAAAACATGCGCGGGGTTTAGAGTGAGGCAATAGATTTATACATTTAGCCTGACGGTAGTGAAGTAAGAGAGAGAACTCAAGAGAAGATGAAAACACAGGCACTGAAAATGTGTGAGATGTCATGGGACATCGTCTGCTTGTGCAAATCATGTCCATACTGTGATCTCACACATCTCAGCAGTGTTTGGAGAGCTTTTCAGGTGCTATGCCGGGGCTGTATTCAAGCGTTTTGTAATTTATAATAATCATTACTTTGAATGTTTCCAAGCATTGAATTTTGATAACCTTGTCGAATCAAAGTTTCAATTTTTAATAATGAGAATAAAGTTAGTTTTTAAAATCAATGAATATCTATTTTAATCATTAGGTCGAAGTTGTAATTTAACATCCTGTTGGTCAATGTTATGGATGTTAAATATATTGTTTGTTTATACCAGAAGGTCCTTTCATGTGAAAAAACCCTCCTGAAACAAACAATTTTTAAAAATTATAGTTTTACACTTTTTTAGTGTGTAGGAACGAATGGGAAAGTTGTCCGCCACTACATCACAGAGACATTACTGATTCAGCCAATATGAAATGCCAATATCTATAGTGATTACAGCTTTCAAAATTCATTTTCATTCTCATTTATTTTGTCAGATTTCATTCAAAATTTCACCAGTCTACCTCCCTGATTGTTCTGCTTTCCTCTCGAGTAGTTTGCTGTCAAGTTTGGATTTCCCTTTAAGAAAATCTAAACCCCTCATGCGATTTCTTGAAAATGCAAGTTTTCTGGATGATAAAATTAGGTAAACTATTCTACCCACACAGGGGTATCCAATAATAATAGTTATTAAGCAACAGCAGAATATCTATATTTTACCCCTTCAACTCTTTTTAATATTGTGCAGTACCTTGTCATATCATGGTGTGATATGCACAACACAGAAACAGAATTTAGTATCCATTTGACATTGAATACTTCATAAAATATAAAAACACAAAATTAATAATTTTTTTGAAAGTTTTCAACTTCTGTTTACAATGATTGCTCACTATGAGCTCTAATGAAACTTTTACCAAAAGGTTTATTTCATTCATCTTTCAAAGATCTCATTTTAAAATGAAAAAAGTGGGTAGGTAGTTTGCATAAATCGTAATGAAATTACATTCTTTTATATCTAAGAAATAGAGCAATACACCACATATGTGTTGGCGTTCTCGCAAAATATTCAACCAATCAGACCTTTAACACTCTGGTTTTTTTAGGAAAGTGAAGTAAACACCCACCATCCCCCCTCAATAAAACTTGCTTGAAGAGGGTCGATATGCGACCACTTGGACTCGGTCCATTATACTTTGAAATTACCATTTTATTCACATGCATTAGCCTTTGCTATTCCGAATCAACATTAAGTGCATTCTGTGCTACGGTAGGAAATTGGAAGTCTCCACTAAAAGGTCACCAGTTGGCTGGCTCCTAGGAAAAATGCATCTGTCTAAAGGCCAGAAAAAAGTCCAGAATCGTGATAAATAACCACACTCTTTTGCAACAACAAAAAAGAGAGAACAAAAGTTAAGGCTGCATATGTCCACAATTCTACATGTATGGAATCACTCTTAAAATATTCATTTTCCGGTTTGATTTGTTTTAATGGCATTTTAATGTCCTTTGGCAAGGCCTTAATCTTCATTTGCCTCACTTGACCCAGGTGAGGTAAGTGGGTACCTGGCAGGAATTAATTCCTTGAAATGCTAGAGCGCTGTAATGGCAGCTAGGCTAAAGCCGGGGTGATAATAAATGCCCCTCGGAATAGAATTTCTAGATAGACGGTGCTATAGAATTGCCTATTATTATTATTATGTAAGTTCATGGTCCTCACAGTCACAGAATTACTTATCATATTAAGTGGCTTAAAATCCTGCTTGATCTACTGGTCAAATTGAAAATGGATAAATCATGATGCGAAATTGAAAAATTACACTGCCCAGCTTCGAGTTGATGACAGATTTTGCCATAAGCCCAGGTATTTCTCATTAGAAGAACTGACCTGGAAGATTAAGCCCTGTCTTAATGAATAATAATTTTGATGAAAGCAAAAAAGATGGATTTATAACCTAAACTTCTTTTAGGCCTGTCTCGTAATGTAAAATATTTCATCATTCTTATTACCGGTTCATATTTTGTTGAAATATATTGTGATGTCCAATTTGAACAAACTTTTGTTTTGAAACAGCTCCTTGATTTCTGCTAATGCTTTGACTTAAGTTTGGAAAGGAAGGAGACTTAGAGGTGAAAATATTGCTCTGTGATGCATGTGATGCATTTCAGTAGAACACACCCTGGAGAGATGTTGAAGCACTCCAGGAGACAAAGTGAAAGAAATAGCATTCAAGTCAAGACGATATGATACAGAGGTGTAATTGACCACTTTCTCAGAGTTTGTCAGTAATTATCCTCTGGAGAATGAACTTAATATTAGGAACCAGTAAAAGACAAGCACATCTAGGCAATTAAGTCTAAATGGACACACGTTAATCAGACCTTGCTATGCTTGATATTTCATATCCGTGCCCCGGCACACTTGGTGTAAGGATGTAATATAAGCAGGTGCATATGTAGATGGATTCAAATCTTTGAACAATGTAAAGAGTGAGGAATTTTGGGTGGAAAAGTTAGAGAAAGAAAGAGAGAGAGAGAGAGAGAGAGAGAGGGGAGGGGGGAGAGAGAAAGAGAGAGAGAGAGAGAGAAGGGGAGGGAGGGAGAGAGAGAGAGAGAGAGAGAGAGAGAGAGAGAGAGAGAGAAGGGGGGGGGGGAGAGAGAGAGAGAAATGAGTATATCTGTACAGTAAGTGTAAGATATCATGAAACAGGTCATGTGAAAACGGTGATATTTGGTGATATGAAAATGTGCACTCTAATGAATCAAAACCAACTCATTAACTTAACATCTAAAGAAGATTGTATGGTTCATAGTATGTTGGTTTGGGTGGCCAAAAAATGAGAACAAGTCATTTGAAACATTTAGATTTTCAACAACAAAATCAGATTAATAATCAGAAAGTATTTAAAATTTTGTGAAGTGAAGATCATCATTAGAAGCAGGAGGTAATATTGTCTGCTGAGAGTCAGAAGGAAATTCAGTCATACACTTTGACATAATATAGTTAACGTTCTTTTGGTTCTTAACGGTATATTCAAGTGCATGTTTGTGTGGTGTCTTGCTGTGTACTTTCTATTAACAAATAATCTTCTCTGAGTTGTATAATACATGTATATATTTCTATTGGGAGGATATATAGAATCAAAACGCCTGTTAAATCATCTGTTAGGAGCCAGAAGGGTGATAATTCATTCTGTGTTACAGTATATGAGTTAATGCCCTTCTGGATCCAAACCAACAATATCGAAATGGTAGAAAGCTGAAAGTGATATTTTGAATATTTGTTTTTGAATACTTTTTTGGACAAAAGAAAAGAGAAAGTGCTACCTGTATATATGACACCAATACCTGTAACCTTCTAGTTCTCCACAGACAAGTCCATGTTTATTTATATGTATACAATGTACATGCAAGGCGTTTATCACTTGTTGGTGACTGTTCAAGGGAATTCCAACCTTCGAAAGAAGATCATTTGTGTGAAATCAGAAATATAAGAAAAACAGTATGGCAAACATTTTACATCAATTGGAAAAATAACAAGTTATGAATGCTTGTTAAACAGTATATGAGATCACTAAATCTATGTTAATCTGGAATTAGCAATTGGTCAGGAGATTGTAAGGTATTCACATACATTTTCTCTTGATTAAGTTTTTTCCCTAAGCACCTTCTCCCTTCGGGCTCTAATCACAATATATTATGGAAAGCATATTATTTTAGGTCCTTCAAAAAGAAAAGATCCTCCTGAGCAAATTTTAGTAATTTGTGTATTGAGAAAAAATGAAAGAGTTGTCCAGTGAAATTACAAATTCCCTGATGAAATGTTATGATCACAACTTTAAAAATGAACTACCTTCTTATTCTTTGTCTGATTTCATTTAAAATTTTACCAATCTGCTTCTGTAAGTTTTTTCTGCTTTCTTATAGAGTAAAGTGCTTTTAAGATTGGGTTCTGCTTTCAGTAAATTTGATTTGTCAAGCACTAATGTTTATGTTCAGAATACACATGAATCTATAGGACTTCCTAGTATTTTATGATTTATAGAATGTCGCTGGCTATGTTCAAATTGTTCATGTGTCAACTACAATTCTGATAAAATGTATTGAACTTTGAAAATCAACCATGCAGGTCTTATCTCATATAGTGACTACTTCATTTCTCTTAAACCTCAGAGAATCCAGGCACATGCTCTGTTGAGAACATATAGATGTATATTTAAGTATGCAACCTATATTATGTTGCAGCTGTTCTTCTTACAGCTAATCAGGTCCCTGATAAAACACTATATTCAGTGCAATATAATTGCATAGATTTCCTCTTCTGCTCAGTTGAAGTTGCACCTGCGTTGCACATGCATTATCCTTAATTGGAGTGACCCCTTTTGCCTGTTTTGCAATACCTGGAAAAACCAACTCCCATTTATATAACGATTTAAATGAAATTAAAAATTAAAAACATTGAAGGATTGAAAAGAAAACAGTGAATGTTGCAACCTACTTTTATTTAATACTTTTCTTTCTGATTTATGTGAACTACAGTTGTATATTTGTATATATTTTTTCTTTTCCCTTTGAATCAGATGTGTAGATACAATATATCCTGTACTCGTCCTGACTGCAAGTTTCAACACACCCAAGTAGCAGCTAGATCAGCTATGAAATGGACAAAAGATCAACATGTCAGGTCAGTTTAAATCTCCTCCCATCCCTGAGAAACATTCATATTTATAATAATAATAATAATAATAGACCATACTTATATAGCGCATATCACAATATGTCTCTATGCGCTCTATAGACCAGTTCAAAGACAGAGATGGCACATGAACAAATAACCCCCAAATATCCACAGATCTCTTTAAAGGGACATTTGAGTTCTTGTTTAAGACTGCAAATGCCTTCAAAGTGCATGGTTATTGCTCTTGTTCTTATTTCTGACATTTCTAGTGCTCTTTTAAGACCTAAAATTGTTATGAAGGTCAGTTTAGACCCCAATATGTGTGTAATTTAGATGAAATCCAATCATACCAATTCAGCCCCACTTAAAACAAAATTAGGTGACTGTTAATTTCATAATTTAACGATAATAACAACACATGGGCCGGCTGGTTGTGCGTATTATAAACAACACAAAAAAGCCAACGTTGGTATTGGCAGAAGTAAAACGTATATAAGGCGCTATCTCGTTTTTTCAACGGCTGTTTCAAAATTATCAAATATTTGAGCCATCTCTGAACCAATTTTGATCAAACATAGATGATTTTGTCATTTAAATTGCATGCTCTTTCAAATTTGACACTCAATTTTTCATTACCGGTATCTCACAACAAAATATTTTGTGTAGCGCCCTCTATACCCGAACTCAACTATCCCTTTAAACAGGAAGAAGTCACAATATGTGTATTTTAGATTAAACTACCTAAAAAGCAAATAGCAAATACTTTATTTTGTGTGTGTGTGTGTGTGTGTTTTTTTCTTTCTTTCACCAAATCTGTGTTACGTGCCTCAATTCAAATTATTACATTCACCTGTTAAATACAATTGTTTGTAACAGGTGAATGTAATAATTTGAATTGAGGCACGTAACACAGATTTGTGCATTAACTTTGATGCTATTTTTTTTAGATTTGTCACTGAACAAAATGGATAATCAGAATGCAGATGTATGTGCTTGGTGAAAGAAAGAAAAAAACACACACACACACACACAAAATAAAGTATTTGCTATTTGCTTTTTAGGTAGTTTAATCTATTTTGCATGTTATCAGCAAAGCTTGATCAGTGTTCCGAACATTTATTTATTTATATCTGCTATGAGATAATGTAATACCATACATGTGTAAATGTTTCATCAAGAGCCCTATATGGAAGTTTGTTTGTTTTTTAAAGAAAAAATCTAAGAGCTGTATTTTTCAAGTCAGTTAAAAAAATGATGAATAGAGACAGCAAAAATATTGTGCAGATATTTGCTATCCTCTTGCTTCCCTATCAATGTGTTCACATTGTATGTGTCTTCAATACAAGTTCAGATGAGCAAGACCAATAGTCCTCAAGTTCTATCCATATTATTTTAAAAATTACTGCACTCAGTGTATTGAGAGCCAGAAGGGTGTAGACTCTGTGATGTGGTATACGTGTACCCTTTTAGAAACCCTTCTGGATGCTGCCCAAATCACTTGAGATCATGTTATGTCCATTTCCATGGATATATAATGTGTCACATGTACATGTACATCTAACCCTTTGACCCAGACACTAGTCACATGTACTTTTCACCCTTTAAGCTAGTCACATGTACTGTATCTTTTCTTTTAACCCTTTAACCCTTTAACCCTTTAACCCTTTAACTCAGGCACTAGTCACATGTACTTTTCACCCTTTAAGCTAGTCACATGTACTGTATCTTTTCTTTTAACCCTTTAACCCTTTAACCCAGGCACTAGTCACATGTACTTATAATGCATGTTCCTTTAACCCTTTAAGCTAGTCACATGTACTGTATCTTTTCTTTTAACCCTTTAACCCTTTAACACATGCACTAGTCACATGTACATATACTTATAATGCACGTACCAATAACCCTTTAAGATAGTCACATGTACCTTTAAGCCAGACATCAGTCACGTGTACATGTACTTTAACTCAGCCAGACAGTTGGAGTGGAATTTTCACATTGCCCTGGTTTAAAAAAAATTAACCTGCAGGGCTTCCAAAATTCACCTGACGACAAGTGTTTGAAGAAAGGGGCTGTTATGCAGTGCAGTGTATCAATTGGAGACTCTGTAATAGAACCATCTGTTAGTGCAAGAAATCTTGGAGTACAATTCGATTCGAATTTGAATATGAGAGAGCACATCACAAATGTCTGTAAATCAGCATACTACATGATCTATAATCTCAGACGTATTCGTAAATATTTAGATAAGGACATTACGAAAGACATTGTACATGCATGTATTACCAATAAGCTGGACTATTGTAATGGTCTACTGTATGGGATCCCTGACTGTCAAATAGTGAGATTGCAACGGGTTCAAAACACCTGTGCAAGGCTGATCTGTGGTTGTTCTAAATTCACACGGATCACCCCAATTTTGAGAAATCTACATTGGTTACCAGTACGCCAGAGAATAACATTCAAAATCTTGCTGATTGTATATAAAGCACTTCTTGGTCAAGCTCCCACTTATATCAAAGAACTGTTGAATTTCAAACCTAATCAACACAATCGCAACTTGCGCAGTTCCCGAGATACTTTGTTGCTACAGATCCCATCTATCAAAACAAAAATAACGCTAGGTGATCGAGCATTTGCTTGTGCAGCCCCAAAACTCTGGAATAACTTGCCATTTGAAGTCAGGAAATCACCATCTGTAAACGTCTTTAAGTCAAAACTGAAAACACTTCTTTTTAATTAACTGTACCGTAAATCTAAGCATATCAGGAGCTCTTGTAGCGCAGTAGAATATATACCTAATATTGGATAGTTTCTGCGCTTTATAAATGTACTATTATTATTATTATTATTGTTAAGCAAATAATTACTGTTGATGAAGACGACGGAACAAACTATCACTTCTGAGGCAATCTGGATGTACAAGCAGCTATCTTTCAGAAGCAGAGCTGAGGAAAGATCTAGCGTATACATTCAGATCGCCGAGGAAGTGATAGTTTGCCATCGCCTGAAACCAAAAGGTGATTATTTGCTTTATATTCCAAATTGGAAACATTTCACTGGTAGGGTCTACGGGAAAGACAATCTTCATGTAACTGTTTTTAGTGTTAGCTAGCAAAGGGTGTATGGTACGTACTGTGCATGCAGTACTTACATGTATGTACTTATGTACGTACGTATACGTGATCGACTGCTGCGTTGAAGATAATACATAGTGCAACGTACTTTGACCGAAGATAGTACATAGTGCAACATACTTTCACTGAAGATAGTACATAGTGTAACAAACTTTTCTTCGCCCATCAAAACGTGATATGACCAATCATAGAGCAAGATTCTTAATAGTATAAAAAGTAATATCAGAGGTCATTTATTATGTAATCATGTTGATAGGATCATAGATGATATATGAATGGTTAATTACTTGCTTCTGACTGATCAGGATATTTAATACAGAAGAGGAAATAAGATTAGGATGACCATTCTTCTTCATCCATCATAGCATGAATTCACAGAATTACCTTTCTTTTTAAAATTAGGCAGGAAAAATGATGTTGAAAATACACGTTGCATCTATTATACAAGCCTGAAAAGAGGTGATAGCAAATTCTTTAGTTTCCCTCCTGCATACCGTAAAAATTAACCCTTGATGTGCCAGACAAATAAGTTTCTGATGGGATTATTGTGTATTTATTCTGCAAATTTGAACCTATAGATAAGGAAGGTTTAATTCTTATGTTGCTTTTCTTCACTATGGGATATTACAACCCATTGTGATGGTTGCGACTTATCCGCTTTGAAATGTAACCTTTTGTCGTCCAGCTTTCATATATTTTTTCAAAGTGCCACATCTAACAGTAGCTTTTGTTGTCACATGTCTCACTTTAAGCGGACGAAATTGGACAACTTATATCATCATCACGAAAAGTAATGTAAAATCTGAAAATTGCACAACATGAAATTTCCTTTTAAAAATTCTCAACCACAACCATTCTCATTGCAAAAATTCAGTGCTCTGTCAATTTTTATTGTATCATGTCACTTCACAGAAATTTGGCATGAATCTGAATCACTTACGACATCAGTGAGTTTCATCAAGGAGATAGTTTAAAACTCCTTGGTTTCATGCACTTGACTGTCTGTTTTTATGGTATATCAAAATACTTGTCAATATTTCCCCTTATTCACCCTGTTCAGTACCTTCCCCCCAAACAAACAAAGCAAAAAAAGATTTTAAAAAAAATGTTTCTATCCTACCAAGTATGATGCACAGTTCACAAAGTGGAGATTTCCACATCATTGGGTGATACCAGTAATGTTGTAGATACTCCACTTAATTGATTATACATGCAGCTTAATCAGGCAAATCTGAACATTGAAATGAAGTCTAAGCTTAAAGTCTTTTGGGGAGGGATCTATCAACTGTTTGGATGAGCTTAAGAAAGCAAGAAATATTAAGCAAATTGACTTAAAATGTCTTTACATTGATTCAAAATAGGAAAAAATGTACAAACCTATGTTTTGTAAAAACTAAATGTTCATTTATGATGTAAATAAAGTTTTTTAATGAATACAAATACAAGCACCAACCAACAATAGGTGACATTTTTTTTTTAAATTAACAAAAGACACACAAGAAACAAAGAGACACAGATGGAAAAGTTCCCATTTATGGCATTAAACGATCATGACTGAAACTATCAAACATGGTTGCTCAAGCAGTCTTCAATGCATGGAAAATTTAACACCTTTTATTTTTCACTAAAAAAGTTAATAAAAACATGTTTTCAAAAAAAATCCCAGGTATGAATATCTTCACCATGAGAGATAAAATGCTGACTTTGTTCTTGGAAATTAAACTCAGTTATATGTGAATTCCTCTTTAAAATTGAAATTAGGATGTGACCCACTTAGTAGCTTGTGAGGACCGACATTTTGCTTTTACAGCCTCAGAAGATTTAACGGTACATCCACTGAATATTAAAATGTATTTTATAGGATATATCAAGCTGTTTAGATTATGCCGCAGATTGTGAGAGAACTGCTTTTAAAACAACGTGCAGTTTTCATGAGCTTTAAGGGTGGGCTAAAAGCATATATACAGTCATTTTCATTGTGTGTTCAGTTTTACTACGTTTGTGCTTCCGTTTTAGCCCTTGCAAATAGAGGTCGATCAATAGCTTCTCTCTGTATTTTTATTCTACAAAGTGTATCTAGACCTACTACATTGCAAATGAAAACACAGTGATACACCATTTGAGTGTTGAATCAGAATTATGGTATTTCTGGCATTTTAACGATAAATTTTACACTTTCAGTTGTATTGTATGTGCTTCACACCTAGGGTTTTGTACAAGCTCATGTGTTGATGCCATTATTTTTTTTTGTAAAGAAATTTTCGCACCCTTGGAGAGCTTTCCAAAAGAAATGTGAAAATACAGTCAAACGTGTCTATAAAAACAGAAAAAGTTGCCCGTGTAGACAGATGGCCTTTCTAGACAGGTTCTACAACATGCATTTCTCGTGCAAGGGAGACAAAATACATGGCCACTAATAGACAGGTGGGCTTTATAGGGAGGTGGCCACTACGACTTGAGACTGAAATATTAATATACATGTAATAAGAAATCTAATGCAGTTGATATTACAATAGGCCAGTTTCGTAATGTAACCAAATTTAATGCATACGTCTTTGTGAAGTGCCTCAATACAAATTATTTCATTCACCTGATAAGAATAATAGTATTTCAATAGTCAGAATGCAACTGCATATATTAAGTGTTGCTAGGTAGGTCAAGCCATAATGTTTGTCCAACCTGGCAACAACTAATGTATGCCGTTCGGATTCTGTCTATTGAAATACTATTATTCTTATCAGGTGAATAAAATAATTTGTATTGAGGCACTTTACAAAGAATTATGCATTAAATTTGGTTACATTACGAAATTCGCCTATTCAGACCATTTCCATGTAGCTAGTATTTCAATTACATCTACATGTAGGTGCTTTAGGTCTTATGAATTCTTTGAATATTTATGATTTGATTGAAAACAATCATGTAGGAGGGAGTAATCTAATAAAAGATATTGATTTTGAGGAGGGCAAGGCTCATTATTGGCTAATGCACTCTTTTACACACAGTGAATTAAAATGTCAAATTTAGTTATTACATGTATGTGTGTAATTGAGCAGTACAAAATTGAATGGACTTTAACTTTAAAATGAGTAAAATTCACTAAATAGATTGTAGCATTTTTACTGTAGCATAGTTGACTTGTTCTGAATATTCTTTGTCTGTTATTTTATTTTTTCATTTGAAAATTTAATCCTTCCTGGTTCAGTAATTAAATGACAGTGTGTCTCTTTTCTCATACATGTATAAAGCCTCGGTCACAAATGCCATTAAGAACTGCTACGAACGCCGTACGAACGATTTTCAGACAAGGAAATTCGGGAAGACAATGAAAAACGGAGATTCGTACAAAATTATCGTTTGTACGAAGCTTTGTGACCGTAGCATTACATCTATGACTATCTCTTCTGTATCACCCCATTTTTGGGATGTACAACTGAAATTTGAATGAATTTGGTCATTGAGACACATTAGTTTAAAGTATTGTTGTTCGCAAGGCAACCAAGAGAAGGAAAACTGAATGCACCAAGATATTTGTCACTATAAGGGCATTTTTGTTGACCGGTATAAAGGTCCATAATACATCTTTCATAATGCTAATTTCATGATTGCTTACTGTTGATGTTTTTCTTCTTCTCAAACAGTGAGAGGAAGTTTGCCAGCAAGTCATCAACCTCCTCGAATGTTCCTTCATAATACAGTGATGTCATCATCATCATTAGCCCGGCCAGGCAAGGATATCCTTAGCTGCCTCAATGCTGATTGGTACATTAGAGAAAACTCAAAAGCAGTACCTGGCACATAATTGCAAACTGACTTTTGAAATTGCTCACCTTTAACAAAGATCCAAAAGATTTCCACTTCTGAACGAGACTCATCTTTTTAAGAGATGCTGGAAACTGGAAGCTGGATACATGTAAGTTATCCTACTATCAAAGTTACAACGCTGTTGTATCCTCAAATTGACCATATTAGGCGATTTTGAGGACAGGGGCTTAGACGTCAGGAGCAGCTTATTTCTTCAAAATTAACCAGTAAAGGTTCATGTCATGACCTAGATACATGTATAAGGGCATTAACATTCATGTTACATGAAAATGCATACCGGTAGATATAATCTTCTTATTATCATACGCTGCATTATTTTCTGTCACAAATGAAATTACTGATATCAAGGGACCTTGCATCATTGTTACATTATTCAAAACATGCAAACAAATTCAATTTAAATGAACATCTTTGACTAGAGAGTTTAACTAACGAAGTACCCTACTCACAAGATCAACCCTAAGTGCTCAAGTCAGGTTTGTTTCCCTCTTACCTCTCACCATAGATGGGAAAAAAAGTATGTATCTTTATCTGAATTGTGTTAAAGCTATAAAGATAATCTTTTTGGAAACTCTGCTCTCACATAGTCACATGATAGTTAATACACTAAATGTTGAAATCTTCAAAGAGATAATGTTCTTTTAATATAATTTTGGTTGAAATAACTGAGGAATGAGCAATGATAGAATAAGATACGTGTAGTAGTCCTAACATAATCTCATTTGTAGTTTGAATTTGAGTGACATTACTGTTTAATGATTGTGATTTCTTGCATGTACATGTGCGAAACAACCCATTGACTGCATGATAAGTAATTCCTTTAGGCCAGTTCCTTTAGACATGGAAATCCTTGGACAAAACTCAAGATTAACTGTAAGCTTTATGCACATTTTTGCTAAATTGATTAAAATCTGTGTTCACTTGTTGACATATCAACTGAAAAAAAGGAGACAACAGATGAGTAAGATTTGTTTTCTTTAATGTGTAAATGATGTTGTTAATATATCAAAATCAAGTGTGCAGTATTTGGCCAATTGAAATCTTGTCGATTCTGAAAATCAATCTTTAGATCTTGTTTTGACTTGAGGACCATGTTTTGTAAAACTATTTATCAATGACAAGTGTCTCATTTCTGTAACAAATTTGCTCACAGCCAATCACATGCAACAGTTTTAGTAGCTTATAACAGCTACTGCCCAGATTAGAAAATTCTACATGTATTTTTCATTGTAGACCTTTGGCAGTATTTTTCCCAGTGTTCTCTTGCTCCAAATAAAGTTGTTTGTCTACGTGTTCAAGTTGAGACAATTAGGATAAAGATCAATTTATTATTCCAGACATGGTAATAAATATATTTACCAATTAGGATTTTACCAATCTCTGAATTATTTACTCAAGTAAGGCTAGTAAAGTTCTGTGTTATCATACCACCAGATGTTGTGTTTGCCTCTGGCTGGTGTCATATGCCTGAACAGGTTCTAGCAATCATGTTTTCTCCATTTTATGAGCTTCTTGTAGATTTCAGAGATTGTAATTTTACCTCAAATATACCCAATTTAATTATCAATTCAGAATATTGCCTCTCAATTCTTCAATTATATATTGATGCTAAAGAGGCTTTTCATCTTACTTTCAAAATATTTCAACAGCCATAGATGTTTCCTTTTCTGTTTATTTTCAAGTCACATTGATTTTTTCTAAAGGGGAAGTCCATCCTGATATTAACTTGGTTTTAATAGAAGTACAAAATTGAGAGAAACAGGTCAATGAAAGTTTGAACAAAAATCCTATTAAAATAAGGAAGTTATGCATTTTCGAGGTTTTTTTTGGCAACTCTGTGACATTTCTCGCGAGGTCCCCTCCCATTTGTTTTGTACTTAAAAAAACCATAAATTTCTATTCTTGCCCTAAAGAAATTGTCCAATCATACATGTGCCATAAATATGATTGTTGCGAATGTTTATATACAACCCCTGTTTGAAACAAATCTATTCTATCATCAATAACTTAAAAACTAAGATACATCACATTGTTGCCAACTTATGTTTCACTGATGACAACTTCAAAACTTTATAACTTTCCTATTTTGAATAAGATATTGCTCAAACTTACACACTCATTTGTCTCTTTTGTTTTTCTGCTCTTATTAATACAAGCTAATTATCAGGGTAGACCTCCCCTTTAAAGAAAAAACCTCTTTGACACTTCCTGTTTTCCTTAAGAAGAAACAAATCAGGTCATCAAATATTGTGATAACTTTTTTATATAAAGGTTCAGGGATGTGTAGAGCAGGGTGAGTGGGCACTTAATTTCAATTTGCAAAATGTATGTATTGTTGTCATGGGGTCAAACTAATAAATGCGGGTGCTGAGTTTACAAATATGAGTTTAGTCAGTTGAGGTGACTTTGCTTCAAGTTCTTGTTATTCATGCAATCTACAAGAAAGTGATTTAGTTTTCCACAAATAGGTTTGACATAATATTACAACAGTCAGTAGATTGTCTGGAAGTGACTTTATTTATTCATGCAATCAACAAGAAAGTTATTTTGTTTTCCACAATTAGGTTTGAAATAATACAATAGAGGTGATTTACCCTCAATCTTGTCAAGAGGAAGAAAGACAATCTCCAATCTCTTAGTCGCAGACGATATTCTAGATGTCTCCTATCTTTATATATCAAGTACTTTGAGATTACTGTTCCAGACAAAGCAGTGTACCTCCGCGTCTCCCCCTCCTACAAAGAAAATATAACAAACGATGGGAGATTGTAAGGGGGCGGGCGAGACTTAGCCTGTCAAAGATTTTTGGCAGTGTTTCATAAGACATATATATATATATATAATATAAATATGCATGAAAATTAAAGTCACAACACAACCTTACTCTCCAGAACATTTACCAGTTGCTCTTTCCATGATTACATTATTGTATCAGGGAAAACCAGGCCACTTGTGATTTAATAAGTCAAGAGCACTTCAATGAATAATTACTTTTAATTTCTTAAACTCCATGTCAACATTTTGTGTTTGTTTGCTTCATCTTCTAGCAAAATAACAGATTACAAAACTTTTTTTGATGGTGAATAATAGCTCAAGGAAGCTGAATATTGTGCATTATCCCAAACAATTAAAGTTCATTTTTGCAAACTATGTGTGTATATTGTTTACCAGTAAACTAGGTCACACCATGTGAGAGAAAAAAGAAAAGTTTAAAGACACACGCTTTTTTCTTTTTAATGAGGTTCCTTTTAAAGATGTCTTGAAAAAACAATTGTTAGATCAATGATTTTGAATGAGTTGTATGTTTTCATTAAAATGTGGCCTGCTTTTAAATTTGTCATATTGATTTTAAGACAAAGAAGTTATTTTCAAATTATGTGAATTCTCAATTAATTTATAGTCACACTATGAAGAAATAATGAGTGTACTTGTACATTAAATTTATATATAAAAATACAAAATTGAGTCTGATGTATTTTTGTCATGTTTATTGTTAGTTTACTGTTAACATAGCTGTGCCCGGTACGTGGGTTTAAGTTTACAAGGGGTTAACCTTTAATAGGGGCAGCAGCTCCCCTACTAATTTGAAATCCCCAATATTTAGACGTCCATTGTTTGATAATCTAGCAGCAAGACGGTCTAGTTGTAATCGTCATATCTTGTCAATTTATTTAGATGAATGAATTCCTTTCACCAAAAGATATGAATAACTTTATTTGGTAATAAGCATAGAAACAGGAAACTTTACACTGGGCCTGAAATATCAGCCCTTGGTAAACTTGTGCCCATACACTTGGTCTCTGGTATGGCGATTGACGGTCATCAATCCATGATGAAGAAGACTATAAATCAGAAAATACAGGAGAGAGAAATAAGGATGTGAGCGTTATGAGCTATGAAGGGCACGCTCCCTGCAGTGAAAGTTATGTGAATGCGTGTGTGCGTGTGCGTACGATGCGTGGGTGTGCGGTTGTAGTAAATAAGGGGCTCTATTTTGTATGCCGCCTAGGAATACGCACCTCTCCACGTTGCAGCTAAAAATGCTTTTACAAGAAGCTGTCTAGACCGACGAGACAACGGAAGTTTCAAAAGGTATACGGTTGCGACAACAAAGTAAAACTTAACTTTCTAAGATGTCTGATAACTTATTTTTCTCCTGTTAAAATAATTGTATTTTGAGAGATTCACACTATCGAAAAGCGAGCTTTGTTGACAAAATGTAACACGTCGATCGCAAAGACTTCAAAAATCAACCTAAGGCAATTCATTCATGTGACGTATGCTAGCATGAGAACGATATTACGCTAACCGAAAATGATTTTTATTGAAAGGCAATATAATATTAATAGGGTACTGAATTGCGCTTGGTATTTTTAAGCCCTTGCACTCGTGTTCAATTACGCGTCTCATTAACATTTAACTTTACCAAGACAATTTTGTACATACACAACAATAGCGATTTTCATGTTTTCATCCGAAAATATTTAATTTGCCATCCATCGTAGCATCCTGCTATCAAAGCAGTCGCTATAACCAACGTTGCCTGTTTGTTTCCCGAAAGTTAATCCTTCGGATTTTTTTAATTGGTGATTCGAATTGGCGATTCCTCACGAGACAAGATGCAACATTATAACCGTTTATAAAATGGCCGCGGGCAACAATCTTCGTTTGAGGTGATGTCTTGCTCTCTCTCTCTCTCTCTCTCTCCTCTCTTTTTCTCTCTTTCTCTCTCTCTCTCTCTCTCTCTCTCTCTCTCTCTATCTATCTCTCTCTCGATCGTTATGTCACAGACCTTCACAAATCTCGCTAGTGGTCATGGTGAAAATACCAAAGTCATCTTCTATAATTAAGGTCCATTCCCAGATTCTCTTTTTTCCCCTTCTTCTTCAATGTACACTCCAACTAAATTAACTTTTATGTGTAAAATGGTCCAATCCGTAAAAAGGAGCATTATTAAATGGGCGTTGGCATTTCCTTGTAAATGTCCACTTCTACATGTACATTATGATTCTATTGATTTTGTCATTCGTATAACTAAGATGATGCCAAGGGTATCCAAAATATAGAAGTACATTTATCAAAAGTCATTCATATGGACAGGGCCAACCAACTTATCCGAATTTTAGCTTTTCATGGATAACTTGTGATACGGTCACAAAGGTTCGTACGAACCATAATTTCGTACGAATCTCCCTGTTTTTCCATTGTCTTCCCGAATTTCCATTTTCTGAAAATCGTTCGTACGGCGTTCGTAGCAGTTCTTAATGGCATTTGTGACCGAGGCTTTATATAGGCTTTCGAATCCAAGCTTTAAATCACACCGTATGTAACGCTCTTCAAACTAGATTTCAGTCTCCTTTGGTTAATCACCCGATGCATATCATTCTCATCATTTATGACTATCATTTATTCAAGTTTTGTACGTTATTTTTCATGAACATGTATTCTAAAATTTATTTATAATGTAAACAGAGCCATATTATCCAGTAATTTACTACCCTGTAATATCTGTTGTTGTTGTAAATATGTATATAGCAATTGAACTCTCAAACTATGTTGCTTTTTTCAAGGTCTAATACTTACCGAAATATGCTGATAGTTACTTTTCATCGGACTTAAAAAATGAATAATGTCTATGCTATAATGTTGAATTAAAATCATTATGCAACAACGTTTTCTTGAACGTAAAAGCAAAGCAAAATAAAACAAGCAGACCATTCTTTGATTACGAGGATACCAAATACTTTGTGTATATGTTTATACAATGTTCTTACTTATTGTTTATTGCTGTTATGAATTTATGTTCAAGATTTGTTAGGAGTCCTGTGGTACACTTTTATGTGATATTTTAGCCAGGAACTGTTAAAATAAATCTTTGAGATTTTAGTGAAAACGTGGTTAAGTTATGTTTCATGCAGTTTAAAACTAACTTAATGTTAAATACTTAACTTGATATTGCCTTGCCAATCATTCTTATGGGACATGGATACCTGGTTTAGAGCGTTTTTTTTTTTAAATGAAAGTAAAAAAAATTAAACTGTAGTTTCGCTATGGGTTTATTTATACACACACTCGGGCTGTTTTACGAATATTTTATATATCTTTGATACATGTACTTAGCGCCATTTAGTAACAATAATGTCTGTTTCTGATAAAGCGCTGTATCAGTTAAAACGTACCCGACCTATGC